TCTACTCTCCCAGATTACTCAAAGTGCTCTATACAACTTGCCACATTCACACACTTTCTCTAAACTCATTGCTTCCCTAACTGCATTCATACACATTCACACTCTTGACAAGCAGACTGGATGAGCCAGGGCTCAAACCATTAACCTTCTGATCACTAGGTGACCTGATCTTCCTCCTGAGCTACAGCCACCCAGTGGTAAAAATGCATAAACCCTTACTAGGGTTTGGATAAAGTGTACACTCACAAACCTGTCAAGGCTGCATTTGAAATGTTGGCTACCATAGCAGTATAGTATTGCAACATGGCATTTGGGTTTTCTAACTAAAATAGGAAAATAGGAACATAAATACTGCCATCATTGCCAGACCTGGCCCACATCTGGTTGACATACACCCTGCCATGACATCAGTCAGTCAGAAGTGCCAGCTTGACACCAGATCCGGGCCAGATGTGTCTGCTATGTGGGTGGTCTGTATGACGACCACATGGTTACTAAATGTAAGGATGGTTCTCTGTAATAAGAGCCAGTGATTTGCAGTCTCGTCACTTGTTGTCACAGTCTTGAGTCATACTGCGACAACATTAAAACTGATCAGCTGTTAAGGCATGAAATGAGAGAACAAACAGTGTGAGATTAGATTTGATGCTCTTACAGTTTGATGAATGATGATTACTCTTTATAAGGCTTCAGTGAGAAGCCTCCAACTTTACAAGAAACACTGGATCTTTGTTTCATACTGACTGTGTTTAGTACAATACTGCTGACAGCACCACCCACTCACTCCAACAGTTCACGTACTGCAGAGTTTCCAGTCTGTAGTCTAGACTCTCCTGAAGATCAACCAGCTCAGACAGATCTGGATTCTGCAGGTCATTGTAGCACAGGTCCAGCTCTCTCAGATGGGAAGGGTTGGACTTCAGAGCTGCTGCCAGATAATTACAGCTGATCTTTGACAAACCACAGCTCAACAATCTGTATAAAGAATGAAAGATGTAAGTTTATTAGACAAACTTCAAACAACAGCTTCACACAGTCTTCAGGAAACTTCAATAAAGTTATAGATAATACTTTTTTTCCCCAATTCCCAATTCCTGTTCCATTTTAAAAATATAAATGGATGCTTTTAAAAAAAAACCTAAAATGTAAATTAAAACCAAACAATGTTGAAACAATGGATTATATTCATGCTATTACAAACAAGCTAAACTACTGGTATGCTACCATTTAACAGAGGAGTCATCCCTACAACACAAAACCAAATTACTGTGAAGTAGGAAACACTTACAGAGAAGACCATCTGTCTTTATGTTTTCAGCAGAGAGTGAGAAACAATGTGGGCTCAAACTTCCATGTGAGGACTAAATTTATAACTCATGCAATGTCTCGCAGATAAGAACATGAAGGAATGAAGGGCATTTTAATTTTTGCAAAAACACAATAGTATAATAATAATAATTAATGTGACCCCACAATGCCTCTGACAGAGTTGACTGTCTATTTTTTAAACTATCAAATTATGAACAAGAGTGATGGGGTCTACAGTAAGTAAGACCTCATGACTCCTGTTCACACACAAAGTGAAAAAATGTGGTGACCCTTAAATTCATAATTTTATATATAAAAATATTATAGTGACTCAGATGTTAATGGATACAAAGAAAAGAAAAGAAAAGAAAATCATGAGGAGAAACTGAAGGTGAAAATCAACTGTATGGATTTTTCTTCTTTGTTGAAGGTCTGAAATGTGAACATTGTTCTGCTACAGTCATTGGACTAAACCAGAGAGGAAGAAAAGAGACTTTACCATGAAGATCCTCAGTGTGGATCAGTATAATATCAGCCTTATGTCTGTAGCTTAGTGTCAGTACAACTTTCACATCATATTCATCTCGGCACAATTAAAACATGCTGACTGACCTCAGAGTTTCAAGCTTACATCCTGGACTCTCCAGAAAACCACACAGCTGCTTCACTCCTGAATCCTGCAGGTAGTTGTTACTAAGGTTCAGGTCTCTCAGGTGACTGGGTTTGGACTTCAGTGCTGAGACCAAACAGCTGATGTCTGACAAACCACAGTAATCAAATCTGAATAAAGAATAAAAGATGGAGTTTTCTTTTCAATTTTGTGCATAAAATAATTTCATAACTTCATCAGAGATAAAGAAAGTTCAACCCCTGTGTTACGTCTTCCTTGTCCTTTATGTGTTTCATGTCTGCATGTATTTTGTTGTCAAGTTCATGTAGTCATGTCTGTGTTTCGTCATGTCTGTGTTTCATTATGTTTCTTGTCTTATTTTGAAGAGGTCCTGTGTTACTGTGTTCATTGTGTTTAATTTTACACTTCCTCTGTGACGTTGTTATGTTCATTTGCTTCAGCTGTTTCCCCGTGTGTTTCCGCTTCCCTCATTATCCTCCTGTGTGTACTTAGTCCGTGTGTTTTCAGTCATTCCCTAGCTGTGTCCGAATTCAGGGGAAGGATGCCTCGAAGTACGTATTTTGAGGCAATGACGTCACAGCGACGTAATGACAGCTGTCCGAATTCAAAGAGTACTCAAAATGTGGCGACAAATACGTCCTACTTTTCCGCGAATTTGAGGGTTAGCTGTGTCCGAATTCAAGGGAAGGATGCTTCGATTCCATATTTGGAAAAAATGACGTCACAGGGACGCGACGAAGGCTGTCCGAATTCAAAGAGTACTCAAAATGTGCCGACAAATGCATCCTACTTTTCCCCAAATTTTTAGGATGTGTCCAATGTATCCTTCGTGTCCTACCATATCCCAGGATCCATTGCAGGCCATACCGGAGATTTTTTTCTGATAACAATGGTGGTCGAAGAGGAAAACACTTTCAAATGTAAGTATATGAAAATCTGGTTGTACAAAAGTTAAATTGTCATAGTGGTTGTGTTGTTAAGCTATGGGCATCTGCATTATTTTTTTTTTTATTATTCAAATAACCCTAAACTAGCTTGCATGGTGGGTCCTGCGGTTTGTCATATATTGCGGCTTACATACAGCTAATTTGGATTTTTTCAAATTAATTTCTATGCTGTTATGTTGTGGGGAACAAAGGCCAAGCGGCTCATTCATTAAAACGAGGAGAAAACGATCACCTCTTCACTTGGGTGAAGAATCGGGCCACTGTGGCGTGGAGGTACAAGAATTAATCTATTTATACATCATATTGATATATATGAGTGCGGTTTTATTAACCCTCATGCTGTACAGCAGCGGTCCCCAACCTTTGTTGCGCCACAGACCGGTTACATTAGACACGGAGCGGCCTTCAATGTGTCGTGGAAAAATACGACAAAATAAAATGATCCGACCAAGACAAAAACTGTGGTATTTTGAAATTATATTAATAAACGCACATTAACTGTGTAATTGTGTAACTTTATTAGCAGCGTCCTCCTGAAAATGTGCCAACAGAGTAACATCCTCCTCTCTGCCCCTTAATGCGCCCCAGTCGCGATGGTAACGTGTAAATATTTCTTTCAAAATAAGACACACAACTACAACAAGGGAAAAGGCCCAGGGAAACTGAGTTAATGAGAAAAACACTAAAACCATAAATTTCACACCGGAGCCTCAACTCTCGTAGCCCGGTACCAAACGACTCACGGACCGCTGCTGTACAGAACCTGTGATGTCCAGACGGTATTCCTCTGGTGTTCTGCTATGAAAACGTTTGGATTTAGGGATTAACATAGTTGCTAGGGTTTCCTTTCTTCTTATTTGTTGTGTGTGATCAGGACAATACTGGAGAAGATGGGGCTGCAGGTGAAAGTCACCCCCTTGCAGGCCAGAAGAAATGGGAGAACTTCAAAAAATACAAAGTACGTATGTGTGTTATCAAGAAGATAAATTCTTAAGAACACAAAGTAATAAATGTGCAATTACTAAGAGTTGTGTTGTTTTCATTTGTCTACTGTCATTTTTGATTTCCTCTGCCTTTAGGATTGCAAGTATCCAGGGTCAGGAGAGGGGGTCAGACCAAAACGACAGTGATGAGAAAGGGGAGGGGGGGGGCACCCACAACAGGGAAAAAGAGGAAAAGAGACAGGAATGATGAGCTGCTAGACCTCATTAGAGAGGACATGAGGCAGCAAAGAGAGGCTGAGGAGAGGAGAGCAGGCAGAGGATGGACAGACTGTTTTCTCTTCTTGAAAGATCAAGGACAAAATGAGTTATGCATTAAGATATTTATTTATTTGAATATATTTGTTACGTTGTTAGACGTGTTGTGTTAGATTAAAGGTTTTGTGTTATTAATAAATTGATTAAAACAAACACTAATTGTCACTGAACTCAATTAGATTTACAGGCATTTTTAACATGTATGAACATAACGCTAACTTTGAACAATATTACATGGATATTTATTTGATAGGAATAAAGTAAATAACAATTAAACAAGAATATTTCAAATACACAGTATGTAAAGATGAAAAAAGAATATTTACAGTTGTTCACACAGGATTAACCTGAGTGACCTGTTCCTGGACCGTTTCTTTTACAACTGTAATAGATTACAGGAAGAAAGAATATAAAATAGGAGTGATGTGAGCTCGCTTGCTAGAACGAGTTAGTAGCCTGGCTGCTGCATTTTGCATAGCTTGGAGGCGAGAAGGAGATGATTTGTCCAAGCTAGTAAACAGGGCATTACAATAATCTAAATGCGATCACACAAATGCATGAACAATTTTTTCTAATTCAGCTGAGGAAACCATATGTCGGAGTTTAGAGACATTCCTTAAATGAAATAAACTATCCCCTAGTAGTCCTCATGCAGAATTAAAGTTTTTTAAGACTTTGTATAATTCAATAAGTGAGAGTTTAATCAATGGAAATCACAGCAGTTTTATTTCTGCTTTGAATTTGAACTGAAGACAAATATAAGGAGAAAGTGGACATGTAAATCAAGTCTCAAAGTGAATTACCCAATAGAAGATTTTTTCTCTATGTAGCTTTTAAATATGTAGCACAGCATTACTCTGCATCAGCTAGTTGACTGAACCATAGAAGGAGAAAACAGAATTATATCCAGATTCTCACAACTAGAACATGGTGACTGACCCCAAAGTTTTAAGTCCACATTGTGGATTCTCCAGAAAACCACACACCGCATTCACTCCTGAATCGTGCAGCTTGTTGCGGCTCAGGTCCAGATGTTTTAGATGGGAGGGGTTGGACTTCAGTGCTGAGACCAGACAGCTGATTTCTGACAATGTACAGTCTTCTAAACTGAAAAAGAAAAAAGGAAATGGAAACTCCAAACAGCTCAGGCCAAAATTCCTAAAGAAACTTGAACAAACAAATAAAACATTTTTTTATATTTGTATTAAGAAAACTAGTAGTTTGGTATTTGATATCCAAATAATCTCTATACTTTCTATAAGTCAATATGTTATGTATTTTGCACTGCTGATCAGACAAAAAAAGTTTACATTGTTCAGGGGAAAAAGCCCGCCATGGGGTGAACAGAAGCCAGTAAGAACATTCTGCGTTCTGCTCTTAGAAATATGAAGGTAGATACACCAGCAACCACAGCTGATTCCAGGGGCCAGAGGTGACTACTGCTGGCTAACACTAAGTGTAGATATAGTAAGACTGTAATTATAGTTATGATACCTGGTTACATCAACTGGAGGTCACTAAAATCAATATCGAATCGGTGTGTAACTTTGCCAAAACAATTTTGGACTCTGTAGTTTTCTCTGGTCCCCTCCCCAATCAGACCAGGAGTTGACATGCTTAGCTGCATGTTCTCCTTAAATTGCTGGCTGTCTGAGTGGTGACCATAAAACAATGTGGGTTTCATAGATAATTGGGAAACTTTCTGGAGGAAAACTGATCTTGTTCGGAGAGACGGCATCCATCGCACTTTGGATGGAGCAGCACTCATTTCTAGAAATCTGGCCAGAAATTATTCTAGAAATTATTAAACCATCCAAAATATGACTATCCAGAGTTGGGACCAGGAAGCACGCCTCTCTGCAGCTTCTCTCCTCCTGTTACACCCCAAAACCCCATCCCCTTAGAGACTGTGTCAGCTCCCAAACAGACAAAAAACAAACTAAAAAACAGCAATAAATGACTTAAACAGAATGAAATCACAAAGAAAAAACAATACAGTATCACCAACAGCACCAAAGAAAGAACTAAGACTATTAAACAGTATGTTTTCTCTTCTAAGTTCCTGTTAGCCAATGACTAATATTTGGTCAACATCCTGATTTACTCTGCTAACAGAAACCTGGTTACAGTTGGTTATGTTAGTTTAAATGAATCAACACCCCCAAGTCACTCTACCTATCAAAATCTTTTAAAATATAAATGTATTTTGCCAGAAACATCAGAGTCTCAGCTAAAAAGGAGGAGGTCAAATCAAATCAAATCAAATCAAATCACTTTTATTGTCACATCACATGTGCAGGTACATTGGTACAGCACATGCGAGTGAAATTCTTGTGTGCGAGCTTCACTAGCAACAGAGTTGTGCAAAATACAATAACATGAACAGGCAAAATATACGAATGGCTAAATCTGAAATTAATATATGTACAATATATAATAGTATATGCAAAAAAAAAAAATTTCTGGATGTGTATACTAAATGTTTTTCTACGTGTATGTGTGTGTGTGTGTGTGTGTACACATATTTTACAAATTAAATAGAGTCAACAATAAATAAAATATATAAAAATATACAGAGTGAGACATGTGCAAAACAGTGGCATTACTGTACAGTATGGAGTGCATAATGTTAAAGTTCCAGCAGTGAAGCTGAGGTGTCTATGACATGTTCAGCAGTCTGATGGCCTGGTGGAAGAAGCTGTCTCTCAGTCTGCTGGTACGGGACCGGATGCTGCAGAACCTCCTTCCTGAGGGAAGTAGTCTGAACAGTTTATGGCTGGGGTGACTGGAGTCCTTGATGATCCTCCCCGCTTTCCTCAGGCACCGCTTCCTGTAGATGTCTTGGAGGGATGGAAGCTCACCTCCAATTATCCGTTTAGAGCACCGCACTACTAGCTGGAGAGCTTTGCGGTTGTAGGCGATGCTGTTGCCATACCAGGTGGTGATGCATCCAGTGAGGATGCTCTCAATGGCACAGTGATAGAAGGTCCTGAGGATGCGGGGGCTCATGCCGAATCTTTTCAGTCTCCTGAGAAAGAAGAGGCGCTGCTGCGCCTTCTTCACTGTTTTGTTTGTGTGTACTGACCACATAAGATCCTCAGCCAGATGTACACCAAGGAAGCGGAAGCTGCTCACTCTCTCCACAGCAGCGCCGTTGATGGTGATGGGGGTGTGTACTTCTCTGCACCTCCGGAAGTCCACTATCAACTCCTTTGTCTTTGCGACGTTGAGGGTGAGATGGTTGTCTTGACACCAGTGGGTCAGGGCGCTGACCTCCTCCCTGTAAGCCGTCTCATCACCGTTGGTGATAAGACCCACCACTGTAGTGTCGTCCGCAAACTTCACAATGATGTTGGAGTTGTTAGTGGCCGTGCAGTCGTAGGTGTAGAGTGAGTACAGGAGAGGGCTCAGTACACACCCCTGTGGAGCACCAGTGTTCAGTGTGATGGGGGATGAGGTGATGCTGCCCAGTCTGACCACTTGGCGTCTGTCAGACAGGAAGCTAAGGATCCAGCTGCAGAGGGAGCTGCTCAGTCCTAGATCCTGCAGTTTCCTGTCCAGCTTCGAGGGAACGATGGTATTGAATGCTGAGCTGTAATCTACAAACAGCATCCTCACATACGTGTCTCTCTTCTCCAGGTGTGACAGGGCAGTGTGTAGTGTCAGGGCTATGGCATCATCAGTGGACCTGTTGTGGCGGTATGCGAACTGTAGAGGGCCCAGTGAGTCGGGTAGTGCAGAGCAGATGAAGTCCCTGACCAGCTTCTCGAAGCATTTGCTAACGATGGGGGTCAGGGCTACAGGTCGCCAGTCGTTCAATGAGGAGATGGTGGAGGATTTGGGTACAGGGACGATGGTGGCCATTTTGAAGCAGGCTGGGACTACAGACAGAGAGAGGGAAAGGTTGAAGATGTGTGTGAACACTCCAGCCAGCTGAGCCACGCATGACTTGAGGACGCGGCCGGGAATCCCCTCCGGACCTGTAGCTTTGCGTGCGTTCACCTTCCTGAAGCACTTCCGCACATCCTCCTCAGACACAGTGTGCGCACTGACGTCATCCGCGGTGCGCACACTGTCCGGTCTCGTGGTGTTCGCTGTGTCGAATCTAGCGTAGAATACGTTTAGATCCTCACACAGAGAGGCCGTGGTCTGCGGTGTGCTGGTTTTCCCTCTAAAGTCTGTGATCGTGTTTAGTCCCTGCCACATACTCCGAGGGTTGTCAAACTGTTGCTCCACCCTGTCCCTGTACTCACATTTGGCTGCTTTGATCGTCTTCCGGAGTTGGTAATGTGCGTGTTTGTAGTCCGATGTGTTCGCGGAGGCAAAGGCGGTGCTCCATGCCGCCAGTGCCGCGCGAACATCTCCGTTAATCCAGGGTTTTTGATTTGGGAAGGATTTAACTGTTCTGGATGGAACGACATCTTCCACGCATTTCCTGATAAATCCACAGACTGAGTCTGTGTACTCATCAATGTCTCTAGCAGCCACGTGAAACATTTCCCAGTCCGCGTGATCAAAACAGTCCCACAGCGTAGACTCCGATTGGTCCGTCCAACAGTGCACCACCCTCCGGGTTGGAGCTTCCTGTTTCAGCTTCTGCCTGTAGGCGAGCAGGAGCAGGATGGAGCGGTGATCTGATTGGCCAAATGGGGCGCGGGGGAGGGCTTTGTACGCATCCCGGAAAGAGGTGTAGCAGTGGTCAAGTAGCCGGTCTCCACGAGTGTTGAAATGGATGTGTTGGTGGAGTTTAGGTGAGACTTTCTTCAGGTTTCCCTTATTAAAGTCTCCGGCTGTGATAAACGCTGCCTCTGGGTGTGCAGTTTCCTCGCTGCTGATCGCGCTGTACAGTTCCCTGAGTGCTCGGTCAGTGTCGGCTTGTGGGGGAATGTAAACAGCCGTAATAATCACTGCTGTAAATTCCCTCGGTAGCCAGAATGGCCGGCACTTAATCATCAGGTACTCCAGGTCCGGTGAGCAGAAGGATTTGACCGGGTGCACGTTCGCATAATCACACCAGCTGTTGTTGATCATGAAACACACACCACCGCCTCTGCTTTTCCCAGTAAGATCCTGTGACCTGTCCGCGTGGTGCACGGAGAACCCCGGTAGTTGTATTGCGGAGTCCGGTACCTTGTCCGATAGCCAGGTTTCTGTGAGGCAGATCACGCAGCAGTCCCGCATCTCTCGCTGGAATGAGATCCGTGCCCGAAGCTCGCATAGCTTGTTCTCCAGAGACTGCACATTAGCCAGTAATAAACTGGGTAACGGTGGTCTGTAAGTGCACCGTCTCAGTCGAACCAGAACGCCAGATCTTCTCCCTCTGCGTCGGCGTTTGCGGCCTCCAGGGCCAGAGAACAAAGGCGTCTCAGGTGAGATGAATGGGGGGTCTGCAAACGGAGCGTCCGTGTTGCAAAACTTGAACTCCGGAAAGTTATAAGAAAGTCCGTCTTTTATGTCCAGTAAGGTTTGTCGGTCGTACACAAGGAGACAAGTGCTGCTCGTGAAAAAATAAAGGAAAAGTAAAATTAAACACAGAAAACAGCTGTTGCTTGGGGGAGCTCGCGACGAGGCTGCCATACTCGGCGCCATCTTGTTATTCCACATACTGGACTTGTGGAATACCAAGAGATTAACTGCAGCTGTTTGTGCATTTTTTTTAAGAAGAAAGATTTGGTTTAGGTCGTGTTTTTGTCTCTGACAAAGGAGTGGGTGCGGGACTTCACGTGTGGAACATGGTGATTTAAAGCTCAGACAGTTTTACACCTACTGATGCTCTTAATCATTAACAAACAACCGGAAAGCAGAGCGATGATTAACCTTCATGTTTACCTGAGTATTTTCATTGTCACCATCTTGTTTTTTGAAAAATGGTTGTGGTGAGAAAGGAGCAGATCTGACTGTCTAATGACTTGCCAAGAACAAGGCTGAAGCTTTGAATTAACATAATTTTTTTAATGACCATTTTCTGTTGGCTGTGAGCTTAAATGAGCGACTGAGAGCTGTTTTATAAAGTCTACCTCACTTTTTTCTAGCTTCTGGTCTACATGTTGAGAAAACGCCCGTGACACAGCTAACCTAGACAAAGTCCAGACGCTTTTCATTCCAAGCTCCTTAGACTACAATGACCTGGATGACTGAGAATGTTCACAGACATACAACTTAGACACTGCACAGATCATGTTGATCTGGTCTATATTACCAGGATGTGTACGCATTTACTGACACCTCAACTTTCACATCTCATCACAACTAACACGTGGTGTCTGACCTCAGATACTCCAGTGTACAATGTGGACTCTCCAGAAAACTGCACAGCTGCTTCACGCCTGAGTCCTGCAGCTCATTTCCAGTCAGGTCCAGATGTTTCAGATGGGAGGGGTTGGATTTCAGAGCTGAACCTAAATGAACACAGCTGATCTCTGACAAACTGCAGGACCTTAGTCTGAGTTTATAAAAGAAAAAAAAGGAAAAAATATCAAAAACACAACAACAAATTTTTCTAAGTAAATATTTTTCAAAAAGGTTCTTTTGACATGAAATCTCACCAGATATCGATAACAACGCATCCAGTTCACACATGAAAAGATACCAAAACTGAAAATCTTAGAAATATGGTATCTAACTAGAGTCTTACTCTGGATGGCATTATCTGTGCCTCCAGTAATGCTATGAGGAACCTTGGATTCATTTTTGACCAGGATATGTCCTTCAACGCACATACTAAACAAATATTTAGGACTGCTTTCTTAACAGGCCCCTTATTTTATCTTAATGACCTTATATTACCATATCAACCTATTAGAGCACTCCGCTCTCACACTGCAGGCTTACTTGTTGTTCATAGAGTATTTAAAAGTAGAATGGGAGGCAGAGCCTTCAGTTTTCAGCCTTCAGTTTTCAGGCCCAGTTTTCAGAGATCACGAGCTGATCTCGGACAAACCACAGAGCTCCAATCTGAATAAAATTAAAAGATTAACTTTTGTGATTAAAATCATTCAGTGTCTCATAACGTCTCCAGAGATGAAAAAGATTCAGAAGGCGGAAGTTTTGATCATTCCAAACAGCTGAGGCCAACAGGATGGAGGTTCAAGCAGTCTTCAAGATACCTCAACATTTTTCTGATATTTGTATCTACAGTTCACGTAACATGTGGTATGCAAAAATCCAAATGGATGTATTTTTAAGACATGGAAATGTGACTCCAGACTCTTTGCCAAATCAAACTTCCATACCATACCAGTGGAGTCGCAGGATAACAACTAGCATTAGTGCTACTGACCGGTAGGCTGTTGGTGAAAACTGTGATACTAACAGGAAGGCATAGATGACAGAGGCCAAGAAAAGTAAGAGAGGAAGTAACGTGAAAGGGAAATAATGAACACAGAGACGGAAACTCCGTGAATCGCTACCTTATCATGGTGGAGGGGTTTGTGTGTTCCAGGGATCCCAGGGGCTATGTTGTCTGGGGGCTTTTGCCCCCTGGTAGGGTCTCCCATGGCAAATTGGTCCTGGGTGAGGGACCAGACAGAGCGATTGAGAAGACCCTTATGAAGAGAACATCGATTGAACAGTTTACCTTGCCCGGGATAGGGTTACAGGGGCCCTGCCCTGGAGCCAGGCCCGGGGAGGGTGCCCGAGGGCAAGCATCTGGTGGCCGGGCCTTAGTCCATGGGCCCATCCTCCCACAGGCCCACCACCCACAGGAGGCGCCATAGGGGTCGGGTGCATTGTGTGCCGGGCAGCAGCCAGGAGCGGAGGCCCTGGCGGACTGATCCCCGGCTGCCAAGACTGGCAATTGGGACATGGAATGTAACCTCTCTGGTGGGGAAAGAGCCTGAGTTAGTGCGTGAGGTTGAGAGGTACCGGCTAGATATAGTTGGGCTCACCTCTACGCATGGCTTGGGCTCTGGAACCAATCTCCTGGAGAGGGGCAACTCAGTCTGGAGTTGACCCTGGTGAGAGGCGGCGGGCTGGGGTGGGTATTTTAATATCCCCTTGGCTTGCTGCCAGTACATTGGGGTTTTTCCCGGTGGATGAGAGGGTTTGTTCCCTGCGCCTTAGGGTCGGGGAACGGGTCCTGACTGTCATCTGCACTTATGCGCCGAGTGGCAGTTCAGAGTACCCAGCCTGCTTAGAGTCCCTGTGTGGGATGCTGGAAGGTGCTCCACCTGGAGACTCTGTTGTCCTGCTGGGAGACTTCAATGCTCACGTGGGTAATGACAGCGAGACCTGGAGGGGCGTGATTGGGAGGAACGACCTCCCTGATCTGAACCCGAGTGGTGTTTTGTTATTGGACTTCTGTCCAAATCACAGTTTGGCCATAACTAACACCTTGTTCGAACATAAGAGTGTCCATAAGTGCACGTGGCACCAGGATGCTCTAGGCCACAGGTCGATGATCGATTTTGTAATCGTATCAGCAGACCTGCGACCACATGTTCTGGACATTTGGGTAAAGAGAGGACTGAACTGTTAACTGATCACCACCTGGTGGTGAGTTGGATCAGGTGGCGGGGGAGGACGCTGGACAGACCTGGTGCACCTAAACGCATAGTGAGGGTGTGCTGGGAACATCTAGCAGAGGCCCCAGTCCGCGAGATCTTCAACGCACACCTCCGGCAGAGCTTCAATGGCATTCCCGAGGGAGACAGGGGACATTGAGTCCGAATGGACCATGTTCAGCGTCTCCATTGCCGAAGCAGCTGCATTGAGCTGTGGCCCCAAGGTGGTTGGTGTCTGCCGTGGTGGTAATCATCGAACCAAATGGTGGACATGGTGGAACTGTTCGCAGCCGAGTGTGAAGCAGCGAGAATGAGGATCAGCACCTCCAAATCTGAGGCCATGGTTCTCAGCCAGAAAAGGGTGGAGTGCCCACTCCGGGTCAGGGATGAGTTCCTGCCCCAAGTGGAGATATTCAAGTATCTCGGGGTCTTGTTCGCGAGTGATGGGAGAAGGGAGCCGGAGATCGACAGACGGATTGGTGCGGCGGCTGCAGTGAAGAGGGAGCTGAGTGTAAAAGCAAACCTCACCCTATGGCCACGAGCTGTGGGTAGTGACCGAAAGAACGAGATCGTGGATACAAGCAGCAGAAATGAGCTTGCTCCGAAGGGTGGCTTGCCTCTCCCTTAGAGATAGGGTGAGAAGTTCAGCCATCCAGGAGGGGCTCAGAATAGAGTCGCTGCTCCTCCACATCGAAAGGAGCCAGCTGAGGTGGTTTGGACATCTGACAAGGATGCCTCCTGGGCGCCTCCTGGGGTTGGTGTTCCGGGCATGTCCCACCGGGAGGAGGCCCCGGGGCAGACCCAGGACATGCTGGAGAGGTTATATCTCTCGGCTGGCCTGGGAACGCCTTGGTGTTCCCCCGGAACATACACACACATACATGTGTACAGACTAGAACACAAGCACAAAAACTGCTCTGAGATGGACACCACCGAAAAAACAACACAATGGTGAATTGTGATGGCCAGGCTGAAAGTGTTGGATTCGGCAAGCTCCAGATAGAGAAAAATCCTGAGTGCCTTCCAATCGCATCACTAACTCACTCCACAGATAGTAACCAAATATATTACTGAACATTTGAACACAAGGTTAAAACTGATTTTAAATGTAAAAAAAAAGACAACTACCTTGTAGTCTGATAGCAACTAACAGCTGCAGGCAGTGAACTGACCTCAGAGCGTCCAGTTTACAGTTTGGACTCTTCAGTCCAGCACACAAAAGTTTCAGTTCTGAACCATCCAGGGTGTTTCCACTCAGGTCCAGCTGAATCAGACTGGAGGTGTTGGATTTCAGAGCTGAGGTCACACATTGAAAGTGAGACTCTGACAGTCCACACCACCTTAACCTGTGATGACAAACATTACAACAAAATAACCCAGCTGGACACTTCCTGTTGGACATTGTGCTCTGGACATCAGCTGATCTGACTGACATGAAACAGGAATCCTCCTCAGTCTGTCGGTTTGCTCTAACCCCACGCCTGACTCCACAGACTCCTGAGGCCATCTCCATCAGAAAAACATTTTAACTGTGACTCAGGATATTTGACTGAGTTCAGCTCAGTGACCAGTTTGTGAACTTTTGGTTCTTTCTTTAATTTTATTGATGTTCTTTCTTGTGGTCCCGATGTTCTCGTCTTTGCCCCCCTCTGTCTTCTCTGTGATACCTTCAGTGTTCCCCTCTCACTCTTATCATGTTTCTGTTGAGCTTCACTCCCTATTTATTTCTTTTCCTGTTTTACTTTGATAATCACTTTTCTCACGTGTCTTGTTTTGTGCTCTGTCCCTGTTTACAGTTGGACTTTGGCTCATTTTGGTCTGTTTGTGACAATAAAAAAAAAAATCCTCAGTTTTTTCTTTTAGTCCTGCATTTGGTCATCTCCACACCTCATCCAAACCGACCTCTTTCTGTGGAATGTCTGTGGAACATTTGGTGTAACAAATGAAATGAACTACTCAACAGTCAGACCTGACCATAATTCCCTATTAAAAGAATTCAATATTTAGAGATAAGGACAGATGATTGTGTGAACTTCAACATTGACTTCTACCTTCTGAAAAACTTGTGAACACAAACCAATTCAACCAGGCTTTGTAATGAAATAGGACTGATTTAGAAACTGTTTTTTTCTATGACACATTTCAGGAGCTGGGGTTGGCCTTTACACTCTACAGCTTGTTAACAGCTTGACTTGTACTGCGTGTAACCGGGTCATAAATGACATATTGTTATAATTACACAAAATGTGTTCTAAACCCCAAACTGTTATTGGTATACTGACTTTTAGGACCTCCAAGCTTTGGAAGTCCTTGGAGGCCTTGGATTTACTTGTAAGTCTTTCTTTTTACCTTTCGTTGTCAGACACAACGCAGGAACACACATGTGCATAGAGACAGAGATCTGCACTTACCGAGCCTTTCTGCAGTTCCTCACAGCTGGAATTAATCTGCGTTGTCCATCCACCGATGTGTTGTACTTCTTTAGGTCCAACTCATCCAGAACGTCCTCTGACATCTGCAGCATGAAGGCCAGAGCTGAGCAGTGGATCTCAGAGAGTCCCTTTGATTTGTTCTCTGACTTCAGGAACTCTTGGATCTCCTGATGTACTGAGAGGTCGTTCATCTCCATCAGACAGTGGAAGATGTTGATGCTTCTGTCAGGAGAGATTTTATCACTGTTCATCTTCTTCAGACTCTTAATGACTCTCTGGATGGTTCCTGGACTGCTCTCTGTCTGACCCAGCAGACCTCCTAAGAGTCTCTGGTTGGACTCCAGACAGAGGCCATGAAGGAAGCGGACAAACAGGTCCAGGTGGCCATTTTTACTCTGGAGGGATTTCTCCATGACTCTCTTGAGAAACAGACACTCGGATGAAACTTCATCATCATCATCATCATCATCATCATCAACATCAGATAAAGAATCAAATAGATAATCCTTACAGTCTTTCCCCACAAAGTTCTCCAGCACCTCTGTTTTATGTTCCCAGTCTTTTCCCAGGAACTCTTCCAGCACGTCTGTCTTTCTGTTGGTGAAACAGTGGAACATGTAGACTGCAGCTAGAAACTCCTGAATGCTCAGATGGACAAAGCAGTAGACTGTTTCTGAAAACATGTCATACTCATCAGCTTTAAAGATCTGTGTGAACACTCCTGAGTACACTGAGGCTGCTCTGATATCGATGCCACACTCTGTCAGGTCTGATTCATAGAAGATCAGGTTTCCTTTCTGCAGCTGATCAAAAGCCAGTTTTCCCAGAGACTCAATCATCTTCCTGCTCTCTGGACTCCAGTGTGGATCTGTGGCTTTATCACACTTGATGTTCTTTGTTTTTAGGTGAAATAGCACAAGGCGTAGGTAGAGCTCTGTGAGAGTCTTAGGCAGATCTTCGCTCTCTTTGTTCTTCACGACAAACTCCAGAACTGTAGCAGTGATCCAGCAGAAGACTGGGATGTGGCACATGATGTGGATGCTTCGTGATGTCTTGATGTGGGAGATGATCCTGTTGGCCTGCTCCTCATCTCTGAATCTCTTCCTGAAGTACTCCTCCTTCTGTGGGTCAGTGAACCCTCTGACCTCTGTCACCAAGCCAACACAGTCAGGAGGGATCTGATTGGCTGCTGCAGGTCGTGTGGTTATCCAGAGGCGAGCAGAGGGAAGCAGTTTCCCCCTGATGAGGTTTATCAGCAGCACATCCACTGAGGTGGACTTTCTAGGGTCAGTCAGGATTGTAGTTTTGTGGAAGTCCAGAGGAGGTCGACACTCATCCAGACCATCAAAGATGAACACAACCTGGAAGTCTTCAAAGCTGCAGATTCCTGCTTCTTTGGTTTCAGTAAAGAAGTGATGAACAAGTCCCACCAAGCTGAACTTTTCCTCTTTCAGCACATTCAGCTCTCTGAAAGTGAATGGAAACATGAACTGGATGTCCTGGTTGGCTTTGCCTTCAGCCCAGTCCAGAGTGAACTTCTGTGTTAGGACTGTTTTCCCAATGCCAGCCACTCCCATTGTCAGAACTGTTCTTACTGGTGCTTTTCTTCCAGGTGGGAGTTTAAAGATGTCTTCTTGTCTGATTGTAGTTTCTGGTCTGTCTGGTTTCCTGGATGCTGTTTCAATCTGTCTGACCTCATGTTCATCATTGACCTCTGCAGTCTCTCCCTCTGTGATGTAGAGCTCTGTGTAGATCTCATTCAAAAGGGTTGGGTTTCCTGCTTTAGGGATCCCCTCAAACACACACTGGAACTTCTGTTTCAGGTTTGAATTGAGTTTGAGGTGACAGGCCTGAAGAGTCTCTGGATGAAACAAAAACTGTCAATAAGATCATTGCCTGTAGAGTGGTCTGTACAGTATGAGGAAAAAGTTATTCAACTGCATCTATATGTGAATGTGACTTAAACCCAAGTCTACGGTTATGAAGTTATGACTTCGAGCTAAACTGATTTATTATAACTCATAAACAAATCACTGTGACACACTTATCCCTGGAGTCATTCAAACAAAACTCAGTGTAGGTTAGAAGTTCATGAACCAACAAAAACTTCAGTCAACAGTTAAAAAGCTGGAGTCCAGACAACAAAGCCAGATAACTGCATTGGTTAGAGCTGCAGTGACTTATCAAACAAAGAAATATCCTCAAACATTTTGAGTTTTTTATTTTTAGGGTCTTTTAATGCATTTACTATTTTCTTAGCATAGAGATTACACTTTACAGTTGGTAGAAGCTGTTAAATAAGGGAATCAGGATGATTCTTCCTTTACACATCAGCACAGAGGACAAGCGAGGACCCCAGGCCCTCCCTTTATTATTAGCAGAGACATAAGAACCAAAGCAAGGTTGACAGTCTGGCCAACAAACAGCTTGAGTTGAACAGCACCCAACCAGGATTGTTTATTCTTTTAAGACCTTGTCATTCACTCATACCAGATACAGCTATCATGTTAGCAATTAGAAAGAGAGACTAGTAAAAGCTGAGGAAGGTGGTCATTCAGCACATGTTCCCACATACGACACTGTGACGGTTTGTTTAGGTCTTCAGGGTCTGATGGAGTAAATCCTTCCTCTCAGGGTGAGTCAGGTCTCTCTCCTGACAATGAATTTTTTACCATTAACAAATTAGTTATGTCACAAACCACACAAAGTAAACTCTCTAACAATCCATCCACCATCTTCCATTTATCTGGGTCAGGCCCCCCAAAAAAGGGAGATGGGCCCATCCTCCTGAGAGCTAACCACCTGCAGGAGCCACCGTAGGGGTCAGGTGCAATTTGTGTTGGGCAGGGTCCAGGAGCGGAGACCCTGGCGGACTGACTCCCGATTACCAAAATTAGTGATTGGGATATGGAATTAACCCTCTAACCATCAAATGGAAATAATCCAATTTCAGTGTCTGAAACGAGGAAACTACTGGGTAACTACTGGCTTCTTGATTTTCACGTTTTTCAGCTCATTCATGAGGAGGGTCATGTGTTTTCACCAACCACAAAGACACAATTTTCATATCAGTGTCTTTGCAGATAACAAACGTGGATCAATCAAAAAGCAACAAACTTTAAATGAGATACAGAAATGTCCAGAGAAATGTAGCTCTGAAGAGAAAAGAGGATTTGTAATTAAAATATTAAGTAAAGGGTTCAATATATTCACAACAGAAAAAAACCTTTATTTACAGTTAAACACACACACAGTTAAATCTCTCAGAATTGAAGTAAACTGAGCAATAAAACCATCATAACAACAAACAGAGCTCACCTGGCTGCGCAGATGGCTCAAAAGACAAATGCAGCTCAGAGGAGAGAGTCGGATCTATGGTCTGAAGATGTCTGATCATTATCCTGGAGGCAGTTCCTCCTTTTTTCTTTACTGTGTCAATCAAGTCACGAGCCTTATCTGCTGTGACCGAGTTCCCCTCCACTATTGATGCTTTCTCCAGATCATTCAGGACACGGTCCGTTACCAGAGCCTCCAGGAGCTGTGTGACGATTTCTTTTGAAACCCTCCAAACAAAGCTGCACCGTACCCTGCTGAGCTCATCCTCTACAGGAAAAAAGAGACATAATAAGCATGCATCCTACCTCACTCTTTGAAGGAAATGACAGCTACGATTGGTCAGTTTGAGCTTTGTGTGTTTCTGTGTTAATGTCCTAAAATACTGAGCTCCTACCTGCGGATGGAGCTGATAAAGCTGGCTGGTCTGGTTCAGACTCCATCTTTGATCTATGACAGAATGCGGTACAGTGAATCAGGATCAGCTGGTCTCATATCACTTATTGCAACACATCATAGCACCCCGGTTTCTGATGGAATCTTCTGTTTACACACTGCAGTGAAGTTATAGCACTGAGAAAACCTGCGGCTGATGTAGAATTACCAGTACTGGCTAGAAATATTTGGGTTCACCTCAACAAACAGGTCATGTTAGAAGCAGTTTCTTGGATTAAGGCTGGACTCTGTTCTATTTTCTCTTTCTCTCTTTCTCTGTTTCTCTTGTTGAGAGGCAGCGAACAGGGGTGGGTATACTTTTATATATATGGCCCCAGCTCTGTGTTTGGATATTGGGTTTCTCCAGAGGATGAGGAAGTTTTTTCCCTGGACCAATTAACGGGTCCTCATTGTTGGTTTTGCTTTGTACCACAAACAATAGTTCAGAATACTCAGCCATCTTGGAGTCCCTGAAAGGTGTTTGGGATCTACCTGATGTGAACCCAACTGATGTTCGGGTATTTGTAATCGTATCACAAGACCTGCAGCTCTACACCTTGTACACTCAGCAAGTGAAGCTTGGTTTTCACTTGCTACCTAGGGGTGAGATGGACCAGATGGTGGAGAAGGCCTGGCCCATTCAAACATACGAGTGTCGGCTGGGAGCATCTGGCAGAGGTCCCAGTCTGGAAGAGCTCCAAGCTTTAACAGCATTTTAAGGGAGTTTAGGGACACTGAATCCTGATGTACCATCTTCCAAATGTGGTATCTAACCGGGGCCGTTTTTCCATTCTCAAGTATGCAAGTCCATTCTTCATAAGTTCACATGGGAGTCCAGGCTTTCCGAGAATGCAGCACAATCATTCTACAATTGGAGCAGCGGTGTACTTCATGACATCAGGAGTTTTTACTGCCGCCCCCTCTGAACTGTGATTTATATTTGGAATGGAAATTACACATGATGTAGTTAAATCTTTTTTTTTAAGTGACTTTGACAAAATTGGCTTTTCTGTATTGTCTGTTTCATAATGTCTAATAAACTTCATACAGTTAAACACAATCACTACATGACTGAAAAACAAGCTTAATCCATCTTAATAAACATAGTACACATGTATGCCTGAAACAAACAGGTGAGAGGTTAGAACGCTTTTATTTCTATTTTAGTAAACACTCAAACCTACAGCACACAGCTGCTGGGGTTTGGAAGAGAACTGAACAAATATTTCAAATATAATGTGATCATTGTTGGAGCACTTTTCAGGATCTCCACGTATTACCATGCTGTTTTTGTTCCCAGGGAAAATGTTTCCTCGTGAATTTTTAGTGTTAGATTAAATTCAGTTAGCTGTTTAAATAAGAACAGAACATTTTACATCAGGGGATATGACAGAAATATACTGACAGCTCTCCAAGTATGATGTCAATATTAACCCTGGAGAACCCATGGGGTCCAGATGAACACATTCAACTTTTGGGGAGGTAGAATGGGAGGCAGAGCCTTCAGTTTTCAGGCCCCTCTTCTGTGGAACCAGCTTCCAGTTTGGATTCAGGAGACAGACACTATCTCTACTTTCAAGATTAGGCTTCAAACTTTCCTTTTTGCTAAAGCATATAGTTAGGGCTGGACCAGGTGACCCTGGATCCTCCCTTAGTTATGCTGCATTAGACGTAGGCTGCCGGAGGACTCCCATGATGCATTGGGTGTTTCTTCTTCACTCATGTATTAACAGACCTCTCTGCATTGAATCATATCTGTTATTAATCTCTGTCTCTCTTCCACAGCATGTCTTTTATCCTGTCTTCCTTCTCTCACCCCAACCAATCGCAGCAGATGGCCCCGCCCCTCCCTGAGCCTGGTTCTGCTGGAGATTTCTTCCTGTTAAAAGGGAGTTTTTCCTTCCCACTGTCGCCAAAGTGCTTGCTCATAGGGGGTCATATGATTGTTGGGTTTCTCTCTGAATCTATTATTGTAGAGTGGGCCGTACAATATAAAGCACATTGAGGCGACTGTTGTTCTTGTTATTTCAGGCTTTATAAATAGAACTGAATTGAAAATGATTTGCAGTCACCTAGAGGACCATGAACCCCTCTGTACCCCAAAGTATTCTGCAGTCTAAGGCGAGGTCATCTGTCCTACAGCTAACTTGGGACAGCAACAGGAAAAGTGATGGAAAATGGAGGGATGGATATTTGTATTTAATATATAAAAACTGAATTTAAACTTTCAGATTTTAATGAGCGCATCTTGAACTAATCCTCAAATAAAATATAAGATTTGTGTCACACAAGGCAACTCAAGAGTCTGATGTGACTGTTCCTGAGTTTAAATCTGAAGGTTTTGCCATCAGCACTGAACTCTGGAACAACCTGCTCGAGGACAAAAGCCTGTCAGCATCAGCTGCTTGCTTTGAATCAGCTCTGCTCTCCTATGTGGACATCTGCCCTGTTGTGACTCAAAAACCTAAATCAAACTCAGTGAGTGTCAGTCATATTCAGTAGAGTTTGTTTCTTCCCATTTTAGTTTGAGAAAATATTTTAATCAACAAACTTTACGTTTCGATGTTGGTTTTATGGGACTTTTTATTCCACTTAGCTTTGCTCTAAATCCTAAAGGCAGGATAAGAAGACCCGAGCTGTGGGGGAATATTTTAGAAGGCTTTTCCATGACTTTGGTAGAAAACAGCCTGATGTGGAGGAGAACTGATGAGGGCTGAGAAGTGAAGCTTAGACAGTTGGACTATTTCACAGTGTGAGGCTGGACGTGGGAGACGTTCATCTGCTCTCCAGCAGCCTGAAAGCGGACTGCAGACACAGGCTGTTACATCGTTCACACATCAGTGTGTCAGATAAAGAAGAACCTCAGAGGGGAAGTGACGTGTGTGTCTCTGCTGCTGATCCAGAGTAACTTCTCCTTTATTCAGACTTCCTGTGACTGACGTTTGTCTCTAACATCCTGAAGCGTGCAGTACACACACAGAGGTCACTTTGACAAAGCTCGGCATCTTTAGAGAGCTTTGATGCTGATTCACTCACATCAGCAGGTCGCTCCACTGGATGGAAAACACAGCATTAATGAACATGTCCTCCTGTAAAGGACACTTCAGTGTCTCCTCTGCTAAAGGAGGCAATAAAGGAAGCACTGAAGCTCCTTCCTTTAGTTTTTGAGACTTCAAATGGCTCCATCCGTGGCTGCAGAGACTTCAGGTCTATTCAGCTGTTATCTGCTTTTAGAGGGGCGGAGTCTTTATCAGCACATGTTATTAACCTGACCAGTGGGTGGAGCCCACAGGTTTTATGACTTGTTGTATCCTGAGGGGTGTGAGGTTAATGTGTCAGTGAGGCGTAGCCTTCACACATAAATGCTGTACACATACAGAGATTCATGCAACGCCTTTACTTTTGAGTTATATTTACATGTTCAAAATACAACTATCCAAAAGCACCATGGTAACGGATTCTGAACAGCTCACCTGGTCAGGAGCAGGCGATGTGCAGCGTGCTGGTGGGATAAACCCGCCTCCGTCTCAGAGAGAAGAAGATCCTGATTTCCTCATCTTGGTCATCAGCTGCTGGATCTGTGCTCCTCCCCTGTCCATTTACAGGAGTCAGATGACTACATAAGAGGAAGTGTGCGTCTTGGAGACATGAGCGCTCTCAGGTGACGATGTCTGAGCTGTATTTGATCATCAAACCTGTAAAATTGTTTCTCTGACTCCAGCTTCAGCCCACAACCTCAGAGCTCCTGCTCACCCTCACAGACCATGAAATGCCCCCGGATCCACCCAGGCAACAGTAAACCAGCTGTTGACCCACAGGAAGTGAGGAAACAGGAAACATGGCGCTGATGTGACAAGAGAATCTTACAGAACCAGAGGTGCCGATTTCTGCTGAAACTTCATGGCTCTAAAGGCGGCGCCGTCACGTCTTGTTCTTCACTTTTCTGACGCCTTTCATGTTTCCACACTGCTGCACGCACCCACCCACCCCCACTCGGTCTGTACAAACACAACTCCAGCTTTCATCACAGGAGGGCATGAAGCCCGCTTACACAACCAGGCATCACAGGAAACAGAGCCAGTCGTTACGAAACACATTAAGTCCCAACGACAGCTCACACAGCAAATACACTGAAACACTGAGGTGGTCATGTGACTGTTGCTATGCACACAGAACAGAATGAGGCGAGAGCAACATGTAAAATATTTTATTTTTCTGTAAATGATTCTAAATCAGAGTCACCATATTTCCCAAAAACAAACATCTTCATCGTCACGGTTACGTCCAGTAATAATAAAAAAGGCTTCGTGTCGTCTCTGTACACATCAGCAGTCTCCTATGTACACGGCAGCGGGACTCGGCGCCTGAAGGCCGCGGTGACGCCTGCCCGACTCGCTTCACAGTCCGTCCAATCGGGATGCGGTGCCGGGTCAGCAACACAAACTGTACTTGAAACGCTGCAGCTGATCGGCGGTTGTGAGGATGGTGGAGGGCTTCTTAAACTCTGTGTGCAATTCTCTCATCTATGGTACACGTATTTACACACCGCCACGCCGGACCTCGAACGCACCGCAGGTTTAGAAAATAGCTTCATTCAGTAATAAATACAAAAAAACTCTTATTTTACAGGAAATTAACAAATGGAGGTGGGCGGGGCAGGAGTGGGGTGGGCGGGGCCAGGGAATAAAGTCTCTATTTTTCTTGTTTTTGTGTTTTAGTGCAAGTTAAAGACAACACATTCTCTGATCTCAAATTTACATCTGTGCTCATTTTTACACACAATATACACAGAGGACCAGCCTCTTTAAGCCCCGCCCACTCTCCAACACAGCTACGCCCTCAGAAACAAGCTTCTGACCCCACCCATGCGCATATATAACCCCCACCCTGACCTGTTATCCCCATCATCAATATTATTATCATTACTTGTGTTATCAAAGCAATCACTTTCATTATTATCACTGTGTTGATATGAAGTTAAGCTCCGCCCACAGGGGAGGCGATCGACAGAGAGCGAGCTGCCTGTGTGTGTGTGTGTGTGTTCAGTTCATCCATTTGCGGCAGTTGACGGCTCCGCAGTGACACGGGATCTTATGCTGATCGTCCTCCAGGTCGAACTTGTAGTCGTAGCACAGCTGGAGGGGGAGGGGCAGTAATCAGTAACCACACACGCTCTGAGATGCTGACTGATGGAGGGCGGGCCTTACCTCTTCTCCTCTCTGGATGCGTCTGCAGGAGCTGATGATGATCTTGTTCTCCTTCTCCACAGTCACCACCTCAGTGATACAGTTGGGAGCACATGAGTGGTTGATGTACCTGCCAATCACACACAGAGGCGGGTCTTTCACAGGTCAACAGACCAATCAACACTATTAAAAATTCCTGCACCCTGCTGGGATCCTTCATCAGGTTTTCACTTTGAGCTCTCTGAGTTTATCAGAACTCGGCTGGTTCAGGTATTTATCAATGCAGAGCCACCTGAGCAGCCGCCCCCCCCGAACACACCTGAACTTGGACTCGGGGCAGCCAAATATCCCAGAATGCATTTAGTCTGAAACTCAAACGTGGGGATGTCGGAAGAGAGCGGATAAAAATTTGGGACCGTGACATAAATAAAGTTTTAATGAATGTTGATAAGTAAATTTCAAATATCTGCTCGACTTATCAGGACATCACATCTGTAAGAAGTGCTCTGCTCTTTCAGAGACGTCCATTACCCCACCAGCTGTCAGCTGACCGAGAGGTCAAGGGTCACTAGAGCCAGTGAGAACGCCTCACTTCCGGCACAATAACACACGAGGTATACACGTCACCAAGATAACATGTTAACGTTTGGTTTATTCCCGAGCGGCTCATCGCATGTGACTTTCTTACATCACGTGTGATTTCCACTGCAAACATGAATCAGTTAAATTCAGAGGGGCAGTAAAAACACTGGAGCTGAGCTGTGATGTCATCACGTCACGCCTCAGCGGTTTGTGTCCTGGAGCGAGGACACTTTCAGGTGTGTTTTCCCAACACCATGAGCACTCAGAGCGAGGGCGGAGCTGCGACCCTTCCACAGCCCCGCCCTCACCTGTGAGCACCAGATGAAAGGAAAGTTTCCTCTGAGGAGTGTCTGAGCGCTCCACGACAAGTGAGGAGCTCAAATTGAGCTGCTGCTCACCCACAACTTTAAACACCAGAACACCTGATGCGTCCCAGGAGAGGTGTTTCAAGTCCAACTGGGCAGAGACCCCAGGTGGACACACACACACACCTCTTTACGATAGCCTCCTACTACATCTGAACATCAGGACTGTTTGATCACCTCCTTGCTGAAACAGCAGGGGGCGCTCACCTGAGCGTCTGTACAGGAAGGGCTCATTGGGTCAGGTGTGTGCAGGTCTGAGATCAGCACTGAACCGGTCTGAGCTGGACTCACCTGGCGGGTCCCCCGGTGATGGTGGCGTCGATCACATAGTCGTTGTCGATCCGGAACATGTACACGCCGCGATTCTGCACACAGACACACAACACGAGTGAAAGACATGACCCTCTGGAGGTGAGACGTGCAGGCCCCACCCCCTTCACACAGATGTCACTGACTGTTTATGTTTGTGTGACATGTGAACGAACCAATCAGACGACAGCTTTCAGTCGACGTGACTCCGATCTGAACATCAGAAGTCGCAGACCTGTGTGTTACCTGTGATTCGTACAGCCTCTCCTTGCGATTAGCTACTTCACTCCTGATGATGGTCCCGATGTATTCGATGACCATGGTGCACTTCTCGATGTCTCTGGCAGCGTACAGTCCGAGACCCTGCGAGCACACACACAAACACAGTCAGCTTCCTGTCCTGCGTTGGCGGTCAAGTGTTCGGGCTGTGCTGCAGGTGACCCACCTGGATGCGGGAGCGTGCCAGGTACACATTGCTCTTCCACTCAGCCTTCATGCGGCGGTACTGCGAGGACTTGGAGTGGCGTCCCTGGTGAGCGCCGGCCACGGACTCGCCCGGAGACAGAGAGATGACGCCGGGGACGAGGCCCACGATGGAGCCCACCGAGCCCTGACACCTGGGGGCGATGCTGGCCAGCAGGTAGGGTCTGAGGGGGGAGAGGAGGGCGTCAGGCAGCTGTGGGTGCGCTTTACAGAAACCTGTGACGGAGGCCTGAGCAGATCTCTGTCCCAGCCACACTGACGATGTCACAACACAATGCAGAGCAGCTACACTTTGCCCCACCCCCCCGCCACTTCCATCAGCAGCTTGACACAAAGTGACATCATTGCTTCAGAGCACGTACCTTTTGGCCTGACAGGCTTTGGGTTCGGAACGGGCGGAGCCTGACGGGTTGAAGGCCAGAGGCCACTCCATGAGGGGGTTCCTGCCGTAACGAAAGGTGTAACGCTCACAGGCCTCCACGCCAGGTAACTGAAACACACAGAGAACAGGTGAGTCTGGGTCCCTGTTTGAAGGTGTGTGTGTGTGTGTGTGTGTGTGTGTGTGTGTGTGCTGGACGTACAGACTCTATGATTCGGGTCACCGCAGACGTGGTCAGACCAAACAGATCTTCTCCTTTCAGGTAAACTGGGAACAGCTTCAGAGTCCCGCTGGAGGTCCTCATCTGGGAGACGGGATCCAGGATCTGATCCCACACAGCTGCACACACACACACACACACACACACACACACACACACACACACACACACACACACACACACACACACACACACACTTTGGTTCATCGCCGTGCTCCTGAGGAGCAGCAGTGCTTCTGATGACAGTTGTGCAGACACACAGGTGATGGTTACCTTTGGGCGTGGGTCCGGTCAGAATGAGGTCATCGTGTCCTTTCTCCACCACCTTAACCTTGAACAGCGGCTGCCCCTCCTCCTCCTCGATGTAGCACATGTACTTACAGCGTCTGCGGAGCACGAGCAGAGAGCCATCAGACCGACCAATCACTGCTGACGTCTACCTGTGATCAGACCAATCACTGCAGAGGGAGGTAAACACCCTCTCACACTGTGGTTGGTAATCCGACACCTCCATCACTACTCTGTGTCAGACCGCCTTCTTCCTGTTGCAACCTTTCACAGTAAGAGCTCCTAACATAAACATCTTCCTGCAGATCTAAACTTTGTCTTCCATCAGAGAAAAGTGGGCAGTGTGATGTAGCACAGCGGTGGGCGTGGCAACCGCACATTGATTCTGATTGATAATCTGCACGCTGCTGCTCTTACCTGTTGCTGTGGCGCATGCTCCAGTAGATACGGTTAGCATGGTAACCGACGGGGAAGATGGCCGTCTCGTTGTGGAAGGTTCTCATCTGCTGTGGGAGGAGCCTGCCGATGGCACGGAACAGCAGGCTGCCGACCCTGAAGGTGTGCTGCCGCTCACCACGCTGCACCACGGCTGCGATCTGGCGCGCCTCGTCCCGCTGCACGAACACTCGGCGGAACACCGCGAAGCATCGCAGCTCTGAGTCGTACGGGTCAGAGGCCGTCACAGCCGCCGGGTCAGGGGCAGAGCTGGGAGTGGAGGAGGGTGAGCTGCCGCAGGACCTGTCCCCGGTGAGAGGAACCATCCTGGGTTTATGGAGGTGGCAGAGCATGGTCTTATCCTGGAGAAGAGAGGAGGTGCAGGGTGAGGAGGAGTGCCCGGTGGGCGTGAGCTCAGGTGTAACTCGGCCTTGCGCTTACCTTGAAGAAGGTGCACTGGGCCTGCGAGGCGCAGGTGAAGTGGTAGGTGTTGGTGCAGCGGAGGCGGTTGCAGCCGCTCGTGGCGCCGGTCTGCTGGCAGTGAGCGCAGCGCAGCGTCAGTCCTCGCCTCAAAGCCAGCTCCACGTTGATGAGCGCACCCGCCTGAGTCTCGTACACCTCGCTGGACCACAGGGCGCAGTTAAGGTGCACCTGGGACACAAACACATGGACGACAGGTGAATGGGCCGCACCGCGCCGCCACCGGAGACTCAGAGCAGAGAGCGGCGCACTCACCCACAGATCCAAGTCCAGGTTCAGGAGCCTGGCCGGTCCGTCTGTCTGGCCATCGCCCTGCTGGTGACAGAAGCAGCACCTGCGCTGGTCTCTGGGTAATGGTTCTGGACGAAGACACGCCCCCAGGTTCTTCAACAGCTCGTCCACTTCATCCTGTGTTGGCAAGGCAACCGCCTCATTAGAGATGCAAGTACCCCTGCGTGAAAAAGAGAAAGATTACTGATGACAGAACATCCAGGTCTGATAACGCGCAGCTGAGGGCGTCGTGGTGCCACGTGCACTTGCACAGGCTGTTATCCTCAAACACAGTGGTCATTGCTGGAGCAGAGGCTCCGCCCCTTCCCCCACAGGTGCCAAAAACTAGTAGGTGAGGTTCAAATGAGGTCCCTAACATACCTGCTCAGTGTGATGTTAACACTCCAGCGTCGCCAGCGGGAACTCTTCATCCTCTTTCCATGGCACGATGACAGCGAGTCCTCCTCACCTGGGACTGCCCGGGGGCGGGGCTTCAACTTTACCTTCACCTGTAAGCCGGTCAAATAGTCAGTCTTCAAATCAATGACCTGACTCAGTACAATGTTAGTTCACAGGTAACCACGCCCACCTTGAGGCTGTCCATGCGAGGCCTGGTCTCCATGGTGATGGCAGAGGCAGATGGGAAGAAGAGAGGTGGGGTGGAGGAGGATGTCGGGGGAGGCGAGGAGGGAGCACGGGGGAGGGCGTGGACGGCAATGGAGGACATGTTGTTGGTGTACTGGTGCTGCACCCTGGTGGGAGGGGGGCACTCGGAGCCGGAGAGCAGGACAGGGACTGCAGACTGACAGCGGGACAGGTGTTAAAGCGGTGCATTGTGGGAAATCTACCTGAACTCCTGACCCCAGACTAAACTGCACCAGGGGAACAACCAACCAAGGAGAAGAAAACAACAAAACACACACCCACCCCCCACAGCAGCCAATCGTAACAGCTACCACTATGATTGTAACTAAACCATTGTCTGTGCCTAATCTCAGCGCCAAACACATCAGCCAAATGAAGGCTGGGACACCTGCGGTGTGGGCGGGGCCTCACCTTGGTGCCTGCAGACCTGCTCTGGAGGTCGTTGGTGTAGAGGGTGGAGCAGTTGGGACTGCAGAAGAGCAAGCTGGAGCCGGGTCCGGACTGACCCTCCTGTAACACACACACAGAGGGTGACTTCCTGTCCACTGTGAGGTCACTCTGACCGTCTCCTCTGAGGCGTCTAACCTGTTTGAGCTCCCTGACAATGCGGACTCCGTTTCCCAGCAACACCTTGCAGTAGCTGCAGCACTGAGGCCTGGTGGTGGCAGCGCCGCCCTGCTGGCTGAAGTCCATTCTGACACCTGTAGACACGGATAGATATGAACAGACGCACAGGTGTGTGCGTGCGTGAGTGTGCGAGTGTGTGTGCAGACCTGTGTTTCCTGTAGCGGCCGCTCTCTGTTTTGTGGCGGATGAACCCTGTGAACACATCAAACAGCTGTCAGTCACCTGGAGAGACGCTCAGCGCCGACAGCGATGAAACAATGCTGCGGGGTGCAGCGATCTCACCTGCATCAGCGGCACCTGCACGCTCGCCAGCAGGGCCAGAGAGCTCTGCTCGGGACCGGACGCTCGGCTCAGCTGGTAGTTCACAGGGACGGGGACCCGCAGCAGCTCCGCCACCGCCGCCATCACTCCTGGAACGTTCTGGAAACAGAGGGTCACAGCAATGACGACCAGGGGGAGGGGCTACTGATACATCAACATTAATAGCAAGAGATGTTTACCTGGGCTGCAGTGGGGTTCAGGGTTATTGCTATGGTAACCAGGTCTGTGTTCGAGCAGGAAGGAAGTCCCTGATGGTTGGTCTCAGTCTTCACTTCCTGTTTGACTGCAGAGCCTGCACACAGGTGAGCAACAGGTGAGCATCAGTCAGAACAGACAGGCGGCATTTTCCAGTCACGCTGTGGCTGACTCACCTTTCCCCCAAGCACAGGGGATCATGGGTAGTGTAGGCGACGGGCAGGGTGAGGGAGGCTCCAGCTTGATGAAGGACAGGTCGGGGTACCGGCTGATCTCTATGTCCGCCACGCTCTCCGGGGACGACGATGGAATGTAGCTGTCGGGGTCATCTTGCTCTGACGAGTCCTGGACCCTGAGGATGAGAAATCACAAAGAAAAGTCAGCACGACTCAAGACGACGACGAGGCATTTGGCTTCACATCTGAGGGGCGGGGCTAACCTGAGCTCCTCCTGGTTGTTGTGGGGTGGGGTTGGGAGGGAGGGAGGCACATCCACTGTCCTGGAGGGATGGTTTAAATTGAGAAGCTCCTCCCCTTTCAGCTTCAGAGCAGACACACCTTTCACTGAGGTAGAAACAGGAGGAAGAGATCAGCTGTTGCTCTCGTGCAGCTGTCAGGTGTCCACATACTTACGGCCACACTGTCACAGCTGCACAGGCTAACCTGTGCCTGTCAGACAAAGAAGAGGGTCAAATAAGCCTCTCACCATCCTGCTCGCCGACCTCCTTCCTGGTCAGCTCCTCTGTCGTGGCGAAACCGTTCACCAGTTTCTGCCTGGCAACAGGAGGCGGCGTCGGTGGCAGGGAGGCCGGAGGAGTGGGGGGGTTACTGAGGTTGTTCTGCTGGAGGAGCAGACAGGAAGTGATGTAAAATTAAACAGCAGTACCACACCATTACTAAAGTATTACCTCAGTACCCATGCAGCGGTACCTTGTATATGAGCTGGGAGTAGTAGTCGGTGACTCCATCCAGGCAGGCGTTGCCGAAGGAGCCGCTCAGCCTGGAGTCTCGGCCCAGAGAGGAACTGCCGTATGGGGGGAACAGACTGAGATCCACCCCCAGGACCGGCTCCATGAGGGGCAGCACTGCCAGCTGTTGATGGAGGGGAGAGGTTTAAACTTTCAGACATCTGCTTCCTGCTCAGTAAACAGGAGGAGGCGGGGCTCTACCTGTCTGAGGTGTGTCACCACTGGGTCAGAGGAGGAAGAGGTGGAGCAGGATTGGAGTAGCTTCTCCTCCTCCTCCTTCTTCTTCCTTTTGTACTTGGGAGGAGCTCTGTCTTTGTCGGGCCGGGCGGGTCTCTTGCAGCGTTGCGTCTTCTTCCTGCCGAAGGCGTCCAGCAGCTCTGAGGCAGGACCGTCCCTCACCACCTGGAGGTGGAGCACATGATCAGCTTTTTTAACTAAAAGGTCACATGACATTCCATTTGTCTGCCCTGGCCACCTCCTCACCATGTTGCCATGGGAACCAGGTGCATCTTCCTCTTCAGATCGACAGCCGTCGCTGGACAGCTGTCGCCGGGCGATAGGCGGAGCTTGGGTGATGGGCGATGGCGTGTTGGCAGGGGAGGTCTTGTCCCTTAGCAGGTGTCTGAGCAGCTCCTTACCTGCATCGCCTGCCTGATGAGGAGACGTGGGGGAGAACGGCTCTGCCCGGCCCTCCTCCATCTTCACCACCCTGGCTCCACAGGCTGCGGCCTCCTCGCGCTCCTCCTGCAGAGAGACCCAGGAAAGTGACACACAATACCATAGTTCATCCACTATCACAGCATCACTACAGTACCACTGCAGCACAAGTGGGATGAAGTGTGAAAACAAGCGCACCTTGACCTTCAGCAGAGCAGCAGACAGGGGCCCTCTCTGGCACTCTGAGCCCAGCCCGGAGGCTCTCTGCTGGGCTGCAGAGATGATGGACAGCTGCCTCTCCAGCTCTGATGATGGGGCCAGACCAGAGAGGGAGGAGCTCTGAGGGAAAGACAGCTCTGATTGGTCCATGCTGCCAAAGGTGGGTGTGGAGCACGCAGTGTCAGAGACAGCAGGGGTGGGAGGGGCAGTGAGGTCATCCGATTGCGAGGACAGTGGCGTCCTGGCCCCCCCTCCTCCTGTGGCTTCCTCCCCGTCCTTCTTCCTACTCCTCTTCTTATTCGGTTTATTGTCCGGGATGATGTCAGAATACAGCTGGATGAGGGAGGCGGGGCCACCAGAGGAGGAGCAGGGGAAGGAAGTGGCCAGAGGAGTGGAGGGAGAGGAAGAGGAGGAGTCGTGTCCGAATAGATGTCCCTGCCCTGCCGGATGGGAGGAGGGCATTCCTGCTGCTCCTATCCCAGCTGGGTGTGCCTGCCCTGGGGCTGAGGGTCCTGTGAGGCCAGGCAGCCTCGGCCTGGTCTGGAGGCTGGAAGGAGCCACGTTCATGGGGGGTTCACCTGTTGGAACAGGGGGCGCTCCAGGGAGTAGAGGCCTCGCCGTGAAGCCTTGGCGGAGGCCCGCCTGCAGGGGAAAGGTCACTGCCATCTGGCTGTGGTGCTGAGGTCGAGGTCTGGAGGTCTGGAGGAAGTCCTGGGGCAGCTCGGAGCTGAAAAAGGGCATCTGAGACAAACCGTCCCCTCCAGGGGCAGGACCCGCTGTCGGTCCCACCTGAGGACCCGACGGAGTTGCGGCAGGAGGCACGGAGGCCCCCAAGAGGCTCTGCTGCTCCAGCTCCAGTCTCTGCTGCAGGACGCGGTGACGCTCCACCTGGAAGCACATCAACAGGATTCATGAGCAGGAGGAGGCTGCAGACACCTCTGACCTTTAACCCCTGACAACCATGCTTTATTCATACACACAACAATTACATACTCATGTGGTCTAATCTGTTCTCGTGGATGTAACCAGGCCTCCAGACTCCTTCTTACCGTAACCCACATTTCTAACATTGACACCTCTGCTGGAGCTCCTTGCTCCCTCCTTGTCTACCATTCAACCATCTTCAAGTTTGACTCTCCTCCAAGGATCGGATGTACCAATAAGGATTCAATCTGTCTGTCAGCTCCACCCTCTTCCCACTGTCCTCGTTAAAAGCCGTCAGACCTCATTGGCCCCCATTATCATCACTATTACTCGTTCCTTCATCATTGAAACCTGCCTCCTTTACTCCCATTCTTAAAAAGCCTGGTACAAATAAATTCATTTAGATATCCGATCTCCTCTTTGTTTCTTAAACTCTTGAGAAAACTATCTCCTCTCGGCTTCACACACGTCTCAGTAACAACAATAATCTCTATGAACAACTCCAGTCTGCTTTCCATCCACTTCACAGGGAACGACTATTCAAAACGACCAACGTCCTGATGGCAGCTGACTCCAGTTTCCTCGCCATCCTCCTCCTTCTAGAGCTGAGCCGTTGATTTCCCACACCATCCTCTGGAAAGACTGCCCTCCCTGCCTGGTTCACCTCACATCTCTCATATTCAATTTAAAGCTCACTCTTCAAGTTCATTTCCTGTTTCTGCCGGTGTTCCCCAGGGTTCAGTGTTGGGGCCTCTGTTATTCGTCACTGAAGTGCTTCCACATAAATATTAGCTTTCACTGCTACACAGCTGACACTCAGCTGTATGTTCCTTCCAAACCCAGTCTCACCCTTCCACCCATACCCTCTCTCCCTGCCTCAGTGAGGTTAAATCATGGCTCTCCTCCAGTGTCTCTCACACAGCAGTAATACAGGGAGTGCAGAATTATTAGGCAAATGAGTATTTTGTCCACATCATCCTCTTCATGCATGTTGTCTTACTCCAAGCTGTATAGGCTCGAAAGCCTACTACCAATTAAGCATATTAGGTGATGTGCATCTCTGTAATGAGAAGGGGTGTGGTCTAATGAGATCAACACCCTATATCAGGTGTGCATAATTATAAGGCAACGTCCTTTCCTTTGGCAAAATGGGTCAAAAGAAGGACTTGACAGGCTCAGAAAAGTCAAAAATAGTGAGATATCTTGCAGAGGGATGCAGCAGTCTCAAAATTGCAAAGCTTCTGAAGCGTGATCATCGAACAATCAAGCGTTTCATTCGAAATAGTCAACACGGTCGCAAGAAGCGTGTGGAAAAACCAAGGCGCAAAATAACTGCCCATGAACTGAGAAAAGTCAAGCGTGCAGCTGCCAAGATGCCACTTGCCACCAGTTTGGCCATATTTCAGAGCTGCAACATCACTGGAGTGCCCAAAAGCACAAGGTGTGCAATACTCAGAGACATGGCCAAGGTAAGAAAGGCTGAAAGACGACCACCACTGAACAAGACACACAAGCTGAAACGTCAAGACTGGGCCAAGAAATATCTCAAGACTGGTTTTTCTAAGGTTTTATGGACTGATGAAATGAGAGTGAGTCTTGATGGGCCAGATGGATGGGCCCGTGGCTGGATTGGTAAAGGGCAGAGAGCTCCAGTCCACTCAGACGCCAGCAAGGTGGAGGTGGAGTACTGGTTTGGGCTGGTATCATCAAAGATGAGCTTGTGGGGCCTTTTCGGGTTGAGGATGGAGTCAAGCTCAACTCCCAGTCCTACTGCCAGTTTCTGGAAGACACCTTCTTCAAGCAGTGGTACAGGAAGAAGTCTGCATCCTTCAAGAAAAACATGATTTTCATGCAGGACAATGCTCCATCACACGCGTCCAAGTACTCCACAGCGTGGCTGGCAAGAAAGGGTATAAAAGAAGAAAAACTAATGACATGGCCTCCTTGTTCACCTGATCTGAACCCCATTGAGAACCTGTGGTCCATCATCAAATGTGAGATTTACAAGGAGGGAAAACAGTACACCTCTCTGAACAGTGTCTGGGAGGCTGTGGTTGCTGCTGCACGCAATGTTGATGGTGAACAGATCAAAACACTGACAGAATCCATGGATGGCAGGCTTTTGAGTGTCCTTGCAAAGAAAGGTGGCTATATTGGTCGCTGATTTGTTTTTGTTTGGTTTTTGAATGTCAGAAATGTATATTTGTGAATGTGGAGATGTTATATTGGTTTCACTGGTACAAAATAAATAATTGAAATGGGTATATATTTGCTTTTTGTTAAGTTGCCTAATAATTATGCACAGTAATAGTCACCTGCACACACAGATATCCCCCTAAAATAGCTCAAAACTAAAAACAAACTAAAAACTACTTCCACAAACATTCAACTTTGATATTAATGAGTTTTTTGGGTTCATTGGGAACATGGTTGTTGTTCAATAATAAAATTATTCCTCAAAAATACAACTTGCCTAATAATTCTGCACTTCCTGTAAAACTGAAGCTTGTCAGCACAGGTTACAGGTTTTCCATTAATACTGACAACACCTCCACCCCCCCTCAGGGTAACAGTCTGGGTGTCCTCCTCGACAGCACTTCCTCCTTTCCTCGCCCCACATGCTGCTCCTATCCTCGTCACTTCTCAGATACTGTAATTCTGATTTCTCGCGATCATAACTCGCACAGCCTCCAGAGAGCGCATCACCCTCTTCTTCATCAGCTGCACTGACTGTAGATGCTCGAGTCTCCTTCACTTGACGTGTATCCACAACCTGGTCCGTCCCTACTTGTGTGATTTACTCCACATTTACTCCCTCTCATTCACCGATGTCTTCACCTCATTGTTCCCGTCTCACCACTAAGAGGAACAGAGCTTTCAGCTGCTCTGCTCCCCGACTTTGGGATTCACCTCCTCCTGAACTCAGTGATACTGGCTCTCTTCCCTTATTAGAGTCTAAACCCATCTGCTTAAACTGGTTTACTCTCTTTAACACCGACTCCAGTCTAATGCTCTGAGTGTGTTTGAGGAAACACACTGCGCTCCGTCTCACTCCTCTTTACATTTAACTCTTCCTGGTTCCTAACCAGGGCGTGCTCCAGCTGTGAGAGCATGAACGTCTTCATGTTGTGGGTAAACAGAAACTTGAGGAGTCAGAGGGGACGCGCTCTATGAGGAGGAGCTCTGCTGACTGAGGCCCAGCTTGCTCTGCTCCTCCTCCTCCGTGATGTTTTACCTCCTGCATGAGCTGAACTCGCTGCCTCTCCTGCTGCTCCCTCAGCCTCTCCCTCCTCTCCCTCTCCTGGAAACCCTCGCTGAACGGGTTGTTGTCGTCAAACTTGACCTGTGGAGGAGGCGGAGTCAGAGGGGTTAGCCAGCGCCCAGGAGCAGCCTAAGCTCACATGAAGCAGTGTTACTGCAGGGTCCCCCCCTCATTGGCTTTTCTAATACAGATGTTCAGAGATACATAAAAGTTGGACTGACAAATCCAGATGTGGACCGGCATTAGACTGAACTTCCTGTGGGGTCTCCTGTGCTGATGGAGGTATGAGGGCTCAAACATATGGAGATAATCCCCCCCTCCCCATCTGATTTATGATGCGAGTCTGGTTCTGGATCAGGTCTAGATCACAGTGGGGTGCAGCAGCCATGTTTGTTACCTGAGGGGCAGGGCCAGCTCCATCCACTGTGGCTCCATTGGGACCTCCGGTGGGGCCTCGGGAGGCGGCAGTAAAGCCTGCCGTCTGAGCTGCGAGGCCCGGCACTATAGCAGAGGGCGCCTGGGTGTGTGGGGGTACTTGCGGGCTGTTGGGTAGGGCGGCGGGGAGTTGAGGGGGTTGATGAGGCGGCATCCTCTGCCCCATCACCCCTGGAGCCCCACCCCCTGGAGTCCAACCGGGAGGCACATTTGGGAGACGGGCCGGTGCGGGGCCGCCTGGGTGGGGTTGCAGGGGCACGATGGGCTGTGAGAGCAGCTTCTGAGGGAGTGGGGGTGCCGGTTGCTGCTGCAGACCCCTCTGAGGATGTTTGGTCCGGTAGTCCTCGATGAGCTCGGCGTGGTCCTTCTGCTGCTTCCGGATCTGGACACAGAGAAGAAGCACTCACTGTGGATACACCGGCCCCTGAAAACGGTCCCTTACAGGTTTCACTGGCTGCCCCCGGCCGGCCTCTACCTTCAGTTCAGTCTGATAATCTGGATTTATTCTGCACTGGGATCAGCTCCGTTACCTGCTCTAGCTGCTTCTGGACCACTCCCTGCTGCTCGCTGATGTAGCGTAGCTGGGCGGCGTCCTCCTCTGCGAAGACACGGCCCGCCTTCTTGGCCGTTCTCTGTTTGGCTGACAGAGCCTTCTTGGTCTTGCGGTGAGCAGCGATCTTATCCTCCAGGAGGCGCTGCTGCATCTGCAGGAGCTGCTGCGTCTCTCCGAGCCAGTCCTCGTACTGCGGCCGCTTGGGCTCATCTGGGAAAAGAAGGAGTCAGAATTCAGTGATGAGGAGAAGAAGGAATCTGACTTCGCTCATATGTGGCTGAGAAGAAACAGCAGCATGCGATCAAAGAGAAACTTTGAGCACATGCTGCTGTTTCTGCTGTCTGCACAGGCTCCAGGAAGAACTGAACTTTAAACGTTTACACGCAGGCGTAAACTGATCAGAGCTCATCAATGAGCTCCTGGTCTTTCTCCTCTGTGCCTGATCCTCTTCATCGTGTTGGTTGTGTTTGAATTGGAGATTAGAAAGTGTGGATATGAAGGTTATTATAGGTCATTTAAACTGAATTAGCACATTTCTACTCTGAGCACTCAAAGCACTTTATACAACTTGCCTCATTCATCGATCCTACAAGCACACGTTTCTAACGTTCAAGAACAACTCGGGGTTAGACACTGCTCTCTCTACTGAGCTGCAGCCACCCAGGTAAAACACACAGTCACTCCAGTCATTTTTAATGCAACAAACTGAAACCAGTGGGTCTCTGTCAGATTCTGTGACCGTATAAAGCTCTCCCCGGGCTTTGTGTTAGAACCACTGCTCTGAATGTACCTGTTCAAGCTGCTCTGATTGGTTTCTGATACTCACTGCTGAACCCGGGGCCAAAGCTCGGGGGGTTGGGTTGCACCAGCTGAGGGGTCACCGTCCCCTCCTGACACAGAGAAAGACCGCAGACATGTTAGAGAAATGCTCTGTCCTGTGTGGTCAGTTACTGTGTCCGAGTCCTTCAACATACCTGTAATACCAGGTGTGGAGGCTGAGGGGGGACCTCGGGACCTGGGGCTGCTGGAGGCTGCTGGAACCTGACGCGCACACAGACAAAGACTTCAAATGAAGTTGAGAGAGGGAACGTTCACAGAGAACACTGAGGTCAGAGGTCAGAAGGTCATACCTGTTGATGACCACGGGATTCAGGCCCAGGTTTCCCTGAGACATCACTTTGTTTATGCCTTTCAAAGCCACCATCTTTGCCTTCATGATGGGGTCTGTAATGGAATCAAAGTCTGCAGGACAAAACAAGAACACGAGTTCAGCAGGGGCTTCATGAGAAAGACAGTCCAATGGTGCTTCAGGGGGAGTTTCAGGATTCTGGACTTACCCACACCAAGGAACGCAGAGTCTGTGGTGGAGCGCTGTCTGATCAGGGCCTGCATCTGTTTCTGTTGCTGCTGCTCCTGCCGCTCTTGGTCCAGGAGGTCCTGCAAAAGAAGCGGCTGCTCCTCCAGAAGCAGAGGCCTTTGTTTGTTCTGGTTCTGGACCTGGGTCTGGCTCTGCGTGGAGGTCCCCATATGTGGAGGTTCGGTCTGAGTGGTAAGGAGGAGGTGAGGAGGCTGGAGAGGCAGTGGGTGAGGCGGGCCTTGGGGGGCCTGAGGAGGCAGACTGGTGTGAGGAGACACTGAGACAGCCTGAGGGTGGGGGGTGAGTTGAGGCGAGGATGAGGGGGGCCCAAAAGGCCTCTGCTGCTGCTGGAAGACAGGCTGTTGTCCTGGGAGAGGAAGAGCAATCAGAAACAGTTCTTCCATTTCAAATCTGCTGATTAGACCAACGATTGGTCGATAACACGAGGGGGGCAGGTCAGGCTTGTGTTTGTTTACCTGTGGTCACAGGGGGCTGAACTCTGGATACCATGCCCATGGATGGCACCTGCTCCTGGGGCTTGATGGATGACAAAGCCCCTGAAACAGAACCGGAGTCCTCCAGCTTCTCCTGGAGGCAGTGGTGGGTTATTTATTATGTTCTCTTTATTGAACTAATTATTGATTAATATTTATTATTGATAAATTGAAAATGTCCCACCTTGATGTGATGGACAGAGGAAACCTCAAGTCCTAGAGCTCCCGGGGGTTTGCTGGTGGCGAGGACCCCAGGTTGAGCTGCCCCCGTCTTGCTGTCGTCCCTCACTTCCTGTTTGATCTGTCCGACCAGGTGGGAGCTGCTGTCGGTCTTTCTAGAACCACAAACTCCATCCTTCCTCTCTCCGCTCTCCTTCTCCTCCGCTGGCTCGCCCAGATCCAGCTCCTCGTTGAACATGTCCTTTTTGTCCTCCAGGTTGAGCTCAGGGTCGGCATAGGCGATCAGGTCAAACTTCCCCGACAGCAGGAAGTCATCGAGGTGGAGGTCATTGGGACCCAGGTCCAGGTCTTCTTTACCTGAAACAGAGTTAGAGGACGAGTCAGTCAAGGTGAGGAAGGATCGATAACTTGCTTCAGAACAGGTGTAATTTCTGGATTTAGCCAAGGTGAACCCAGACTCGATCGCTCATACCATCTTCAGGGTCGAGGTTCAGGTTCAGGTCAACCAGATCCTTCACTTCTACATCCTCCAGGTCCTTCACAGCCGAGTCCTCCCCTTCCAGGTGCTCCTCGATTCCATCGGCTCCCGAGAGTGCCGGCTCGCCGGTCTGAGTCAGAGCCGCCGTGTGGCCAAGGTGCTGCTGCTGAGGATCCTGCTGGTTCAGCTGCTCCACGGCGCCTGCCATCATCATCTGCTGAGCCATCAGCGTCTCACCCATCCTGGCCCCAGGACCAGGTCTGATGGCAGGTGGGTGGGGGTCTGAAGGAAGAGAGAAGGGCAGCCTCAGGCGGTTCTCTGGAGCGCGATGTCGAAGCTCAATGTAGGGCTGTCCCATGATGCTGTGCTGCTGGATGGGGAGAGAGCGAGGGAGGAAGGGCTGGGGGACACCTGAGGGGAAAGAGACTTTTTTATCAATCAAGTTCATTTTCAACATTTTTGACTGATCGGCCAGTCAGAGGAGCTGTGCTGACCTTGCATCATGTGCGGGTGAGCGTTTGGAGTCCCGTGGGGACGGATGGCGGTGAAGTCCCCGGGCACTGGCCTCCTCATCTGAACACGAACCTCCACAGCACCGAGCCCAGAGGCAGGCGTTGATCCTAGGGGTGCACGCAGGAAAGTGTCATGGAGGCCAGCTGGAGCTCCAAACCTGTAGAGGGCAGCGAGTGTAAGTCACAAACACACAAAAAACCATCAGATCTCAACCAGGACTCTTCTGCTCCTCTCACCTCGATCCTGGTCCTTGGACACCCAGCTCTCTGGGGAGACTCTGTCTGGGGAAAGAAGCCTCGGTGGGCGCAAAACCCCTCTGCTGTTCTCCTGGGAACCCTCCAGGGAACCTCAGGGCTGGAGCCCCGGCAGGCCGTATCGTGCCAGGATACGGGGGCGGAGGGCGCCCAAATGGGTCTGTCTGGACAGGGGAAGCGGTGGAGGTGGAGCTGGAGGAGTCGTCCTGCGACCAGTTGTGAAGAGGTGTGCCAGAACCAGGGGAGGATCCTGTCGGAGCAGCCGGGGGTGCAGCAAGTCCAGGAGCCGGTTCCTGCAGACCCTTCTCCTGACGTAACGTGCTCTTCTGCTGCTGCTGTCTCAGGATGAGCTCCCGAAGCCGTTGACGCTGCAGAGAAAACAGGAGGACAGATGAACTCGCTAAACACACGAGAACCAGCAACACTCGACCAGACAAACGTGGACTCACAACACCTCTCACCTGTCTCAGCTTCTCCCCTGAGTCACCAAGCTGAGGCAGCACGCTCATCGACCCGTCTAAAGCAGACATTTCAGTGGTTGCCGTCTTGTCGGTTTGCGATCGGCCTGGTGTCATGTGACCCTGCTCAAACGGATCGTGACCCGGAGTGTGACTGGCTAAAGCAGAGAAGCTCTCTTCTGATATCTCAGGGTGCTTTGGGGTGTGGCTGCTGGGGGTTCTGGGAAATGAGTCCTGTTGTTGTCTTCCTGGTGACTGCTGTAACTGACCAGAGAAAAGATGAGTAGAAGAAGACGCTACTCTGTGTCAGAGAATAGAGGCCGTGGGCTGTGGTGTTACCTGGTGGGGCGTTGGGGTGAAGGTCCCTGGGTCTCCTGGAGCCAGAGGGGATGAAGCGGAAGCTGCAGGCTGAGGAGCTAAGCTCTCGACTGGGGTTTGGCTGAATGGCTCGTGGGTCTTCTGGGGTCGTGGTGTAGAGGGCTGCTGGGCGTAGGGATCCGGCGAGGGTCGCGGTGTACCTGTGGGCTGTGCGTAGGGGTCGCCGGCCCGCTGACTCCCTGGTGATCGGGGGAAGCGGTCGATGACAGCTGGATGGGGTGTGCCCGGGTTGGAGGCGTAGGGATCGAGGGTTGGGTGAGAGGGGGACGGACGGCGGCTCATGGATTGCTGGTTGTACTGGTCTGGTCTCAGCGCAGGCGGTGTGGTGAGGTATGTGGGGTCAGAGTGGGGACGCGGCGTGCCAGGGGTCTGAGGGTTGGTGTAGGGATCCGGAGACGGCCGGGAGGTCATAGGTGACTGCTGGGTGAAGGGGTCGGACATCTGCTGAGTGTAATCTGGTCTGGGCGTGCCGGGCGCTTGGGCGTAGGGACTACGGTGGGGGGAGCCCAGACCTGACAGTGGGCTGGAGGGGAAGGGAGGCTCCTGTGAAGGAGGGGGGGCAAAACTTGACAGGTCCTTCCTCCCTGCTCCTCCTCCACCACCAAATGCCTCTTGCTGAGGGGGCATGGGGGCCTTAAACACACCACCCTGGAGCAGTTGACGACTGCATGACTCGGGCGCAGGGACTCGCACGTTCGTCTTCTGGTAGGCTTCGGCCACTCGGATGCCGGCATGTCTGACTGAAGGGTCGGGGGTGGGGTTACCTGGTTGTGGCCCGAGGCTTCTGAAGATGTCAGGTGTTTTGGAGTCGGGGGATGGAGCAGGAGAGCCTACGACATCATGGGCTGGGGAGGTGCTAAGGGAGCTGTGATGCTGCTGCTGGGAGGCTGCGGGGCCTCCAGACTGGGAAGAGGAGGGCCGAGGAGTGCCTATAACCTTACTGTAGGGGTCCCAGGGTGAGGAAGGGCGGGAGGAGGGGGGAGAGAACATCTGGGGGGAAGATGCTGGCTGGTGGAGGGGAGAGGAGGAATGTGGGGATTGAGGGAGTGAGGAAAAGCCAGAAGGGGGCGGTGCTTGAGGCCGGAGGAAGATGTCGTCCGCTGGTCCAGAACTTCCCTGCAGGAGGTGCTGCCTGGGCTGACCCTCCCTGAGACCCGGGTGAGGGGAGGCGCTTCCTCCGGTGGACACGGGGCTGAGGCTGCCAGATTCAGGCGACTGGGGGCCTGAGAGGCGCTGGCTGGCCAGAAGCTGCTGCTGCTGCCGCTGCTCATTCTTCACCTGCTCCAACTTCTGGGTGGCCTCCATCTTGGCGAGCTGCTTGCTCTTCTGACGCATTTGCTGAGAGAGAAAAACAGAAGGGACGGGCGAGGAGACAGGCGGACACAGAGCGACAGGCGTGAGGGCAACAGGTGGAGCTCAAACACGTCAACACAGAAACACTGAGGTTTGACAGACACAGCTACGCCGAACGACTGAGGTATGACACCAGGTGTTACAAAGGGGAAACCCTACAGAGACAAAGCTGTAAACATGTCTGACTAACATGGGAGTGTATGGGGACCGACTCACTGCTGCCTCTGCTGGACGTTTTTGAGGCTCCAGTTTGTTCTGACTTTCAGAATAAAATCCCAGGAGTCACGTCCCCATAACTCCTCCAACCCTTAAACGTGATTTTAACCATAAAGCCGAGTGAAAAAGAAGCTGTGCGTGGAAACAGACTTTAATAGAGTAAGTGTGGAGCAGGTCTGGACCTGAGCTCTCCTCCCTCACATGCATGGATGGAGGACACCGGACAGAATGTGTTTGTGTGGAGGTGCTGTAAGGAGGAGTCTGGAGAAGGCAGAGCAGAAGTTTCCGGAGCCATTCTCAGCACCCCTTCAGAATAAAAGCAGTCAGCTCGCAGGCAGACTTGGGCCGCGGCCTCCAGCTCTGGGCCAGCACAGACTTGTGACGTTGTGTCAGATCAGAGCTAACCCCTCCTCTTCCTCCCTCCCTCCTTCAAATTTAAGCCGTCCTTTGGCCCAGAGAGGAGGACGAGGCTGAGGCCGGCTCCACGGCTCTGAAACCCTCGCTCAGCTCCGGGTCTTGAGCTCCGTCACTCTTTATTTAAACTGTTGAAGTTTGATGGCTCTGACTGACGCCCCATTGGCTCGCTTAAAGGCCGATTGACAAGTTCCCGACAGTTCGTGGAGCTCCAGAGTGAAGAGGTGAGGTCAGAGGGTTTCAGAGGCTCGTGGATCCAGGAAGTCTGCCTCCGACAGGTTGGCCTTGAGGTCTTACCGGAGCTGCTACGGATGCCTGGCAGGGACAATCTGTATCTGTTGGAGATTTTTTGCTTTGGGGGGGGATTTCCTGCCTCTTCTTATCGGCTTCCCCTCTGTCTTTAACCCCTCCCTTTTCAATGACATCAGAGACGTTAGTGTGAGGGAGGGCGGCTCAGCGGGCATGCACATCACAGCATCATCTTTATCACAAATACACCCCACGGCGTGCTGCCTTCTGGTTACCATGGTTACTACTGAGAGCTGGAAACCAGCGCCAGCCTTTGAGTGAGTACGGATTGTTTCTATGGCGATTTAGTCTGCGCGACGGTCTCGAGGTTGAAGCGGTGGCGTGCAGCCTGCTGACTTGTTGTGCAGAAACATTTGCGTGACTAATTTTAAAGAGCACCCTCACAGTGTGTCTACAACCAGCAGGCAGCGCTCTGTGTCCCATCATGCATTGCGCTGCTGTTTGCATCACTAAAGTGTGTTTCTGGTAAATCAGGTGTTTTCTGACTAGAGTCTGGTTGTTGGTTTCTCGCTCTGCTGCTACGTCACCATAACGGACACCTGGACGTGTGGCGCTCTCGGGCTCTGCTCACCTGTCTGAACTTCCACTCCTGCTCCTGCTCCGACTCCTTGGGCCTCAGCGGGTCCTTGAACGGCATCTCTATCTCCATGGAAACAGTGTCAAAGGGTCCCAGCGGCGCGGACAGCTGCTGCTGTGAGGGCGGGTGGCGTTTGAGCGGGTCATTGGACAGCTGCACTTTGTTGATGCGTTGAGCCGCTCGATTGTCCCGAGCTTTTTGCTGCAGAGGGAAAACAGCACGTGGTCAGAGATGGCGAGGACGCTAAACGAACGCCATCATGGTTGATGAGCAGGCACGTGGCTCAAAGTTCCTAATCTTTACAGCACTGGGATCAGATCCACTGTAATCAGTGTCCACACTGTTACAGAACAAGGACACTGTGACAGTGTGGACACTGATCGCACCTGATCGTCCTTGAAGGGAAGGTAAGGTAAGGTAAGGTAACTTTATTTATACCTAAAGGCAAGGTAAATTTGCTTTACAGAAAAATGACAGCATTTGACATCCCTTTAAAAACACACATACCTAGTAAATATATAAAACTCACTGTGACACATACTTTAATATTTCGAATCAAAACAGTTCTATTTAATTCAGTGACAGCAACGGGACAAAGCTATTTTTATAACGCTTTGTCCTGCATCTTGGAAATAGAAACCTCCGTCCTGAGGGAAGAAGCTGAAATTCACCCTTAGAGGATGGAACCATTTTAAGGATTGATAAAGCCATCCTCTGTACCTGCTTAGAGTACAGGGAGGCTAAACAAGACTGTGGCTCACCTATCAGACGACTGGACCATCTCACTATCTGATTTAGAGAGTTTTTCTCTGTGACAGAGGTCTGACCAAACCATGCCACCAAACAAAAGGATAAAACAGACTCAATAAAAGAACGATAAAACAAAGTTAAAATTTTTTGGTCAATGTGGAAATGAACAAGTTTCCTAAGGCAATAAAGGTGCTGGTGACCCTTTTTACAAACTGATTTGCAATTTTGATCAAAGTTCAGTTTTTCATTGATTATGGTCCCAAGATATTTATATGATTGTACTTGCTCTATTTTCTGACCTTTAATTAAAGTGACTCCGTGCCCATTTTGTTGTTTCCTAAAATCAACAACCATGTCTTTTGTTTTAGATATGTTCAGCTGGAGATAAGACTCCTCACACCACTGAACAAAGTCATCAATGACTGGACCGTGGTTAATTTCACCCTCTTTCAGTAAGCTGACAATAACAGAGTCATCTGCATATTTAATAATGACCCTGTTTTCATGTCTGCCCTGACACATGTTTGTATAGAGAGTGAATAATAAGGGCGATAGGACGCAGCCTTGAGGAGAACCTGTGGAGGAGAACACTGGGTCAGACAGAACCCCATTTATTCTCACTCTTTGTGACCTGTCAGTTAGAAAATCTAAAATCCAGCCCACCAGGTTTTTCCTAATTTCAAACTGTTCTAAAAGTCTTTTAATTAAAATATGGGGCTGTATTGTATTAAAAGCCGAAGAAAAATCAATGAAAAGAAGTCTTGCAAAAGTCCCTTTACTCTCTACATGTTTAAGAATTAGATTTAGTAAAGTCAAAAGTGCGTCCTCCACTCCTCTGTTGGGCCTGTATGCAAACTGCATTGGATCCAGCTGACCTTCAGTCTCTTTCATAATCACATTTCTGATGATTTTTTCAAAGACTTTCATGACAACTGAAGTGAGGGCAACAGGCCTGAAGTCGTTTAGAATTTTTGGACGACTAGATTTAGGGACAGGAACCACGACTGCTTCTTTCCAAAGAGAGGGCACATGTTGTGTTTGCAAGGATTTGTTAAAATAACCTGAAATATAGGACTGAGTTCATCAGCACAAGATTTAATTAGGCGGCCACTAATTTATCAGGGTCCGGAGCTGGAAGATGACCCTGCTGCTTCAAATGGACACCTTTGATCAACACTCTGGAAACCACTCAAAAGGACACAAGGGCCTGTTGACAGGACGAAGGTCCTATGAACAGGCTCCTATACGCTTTTATAACGTTTCCTCAGCTCTCAGAGTCCTCCACACAGTGAGGAGGAGGAGGAACTCACCACGTAGGGGGCTCTGTCCTGAGCGCTGGCCTTTCTCCACAGCTTGGTGATCTGCTTCACTCTGGTGGGCCAGTCTGATACAGGAAACAGCTGTTAGCTCTGTCAACACACTGAACACAGTGTGTGTGTGTGTGTGTGTGTGTGTGTGTGTGTACCTGGGTACTGCTGCTTAAGCTGGGGGAAGTTGGTGTTGCAGTAGAGCACCGGAGCGACGGTGGCCATCTCTCCCAGACTCTCCTCCTTCTCCCACTTCAGCGTGCTCCTCTGAGCCGTTGACAGCGCATCCTGCTCGCCCTCACCAGCTGGAGCCTGCTGATTGACTGGAACTAATGCAGAGGTGGGGCCCTGGATGGGGGCGGGGTTTTCGGTAGGGAGGACCCTAAAGCTGACTGGACCCTGGACACCGGGCATCATAGGAGGAGCAGCTGGTGAGAGGCCGTTCATCAGTGGGAGGCGAGGAAACGGCACGGCACCTGAAAGGTGATCATAGGTGATTGGAAGGTTCAAAGAGAGCTCAGTCGAACCCTCAAACTGTTTTTAGGTTCATACTTATCAACAAAAACGATGGCGAGACAGCTGCAGGTCGAAGAAATGTTTGGGAAAAATGGTGGACGGTCGAAGCAAAGCGGCGTCATGAGTTTGTATCTCACTCAAACATCGAGCAGACAAATGTCAGCATAACGAGGAAACTGAAACAGTTAAATTCAGCTAACCTTTGGTTACATGACGTTAGTGACATAGCCACGTAACACGGCTCTCATGTTTGTAGTTTTTATTATTCTGAAATATCACCAACGCCTTCAGACAGAGGTCACTGTGTACCTGTGCGTGTCTGTGTGCGTGTCTGTACTAGAGATGGCACGATACCACTTTTTTATGTCCAATACCGATATCATAAATTTGGATATCTGCCGATACTGATATGAATCCGATATAGTGTTTTTTAATCAACACAACTGTTTTTTAATATCTTGCTGCATTTTGTATAAGTTCATACTCAAGTTTAAAACAACAACTACACTAAAGCTATTCTGTTATACCTGTATGCAAAAAAAATATTTCATAGTTCAGCAATACTGATCAATCTAATAAACTTAGACCTACACCATCCTCCCTATTCTGGTATTTTAAAGAGTACTTAGCATAAATATTAAGCAACCTAACTAATAGGGTTCCAACTCCCAGCAACAACAAAAATAAATAAATAAAAAATAGGGAACCACCCCTCACACTCCACCTCATGATGCTTAATCGACGTAATCAACCTTAATTTGATGCAGTGTGAAAAAAAAAGCACAGAAATCAATTATTTTTCAAGAAATATTAAATAGATTCAACATCTTTCTTCAACAAAATTGCAGACTGCACAGATGGTACCTTCCCAAAGGAAAAAGTACTATAGCTTACTAGGGTATATTAGACTTAATAGTTACTATATACAGTAATTGACTTCTATTCATTTTACATCAAATTAAAACTTTGGGTGTAGATTCAGATAAATATTAATAATTAAAAGCTCGACATTTTAAATGAGAATAAGAAAGAAAAGTATGTCTTTGTGCCCCCTTTTCCCTGTTCATGCCCTATCGGCCCCCTGGCTAAACTTTGCTAGATCCGCCCCTGCACAGTTACCAGCGTCAGCTACGTAGAAAAAGATCCTCGAGTAGAAAGTAATATTAAATAAATTCTAACAGCAGCTGATCAAGCTTAAACGTGCTGCTGTTGTTCAGCCGCTGGTTTCCTCTTTCTGGTGCAAAGTGGACCAAAAACAAAGACGGACTCACGACAGAAAAGCCGATCAGCTGATCATAAGTAGCAGCAGGAGAGAGCGAGAGGCAGTCGCTCGTTAAGCTTAACGCAGGAATGCTTTACAAACATTCAGAGATGGACTTACACACTTGCTTTACTTCTCTCGGGGATAACTTTGTCGGAGATGAAATGCCGGGTTGCTAGCGAAGCTCCAAATGCTATCCAGACCACCGACAGGTCCGCATGCCACAGCTGCTCTATCACGTGATGCATACTGCTCCGACGTGCTAACGTTCTGAGGTGAGTTACGGCGTGTTGCAAGTTTTGTGAGGTGCTTTCGTGATATTTAATGGATCGGATTACATTTTTTATTTTTCTCCGATATCCAATCCAGTAATTTAGGTCAGTATCGGACCGATACCGATACGTAATATCGGATCGGTCCATCTCTAGTCTGTACCTGTGTGCGTGTCTGTACCTGTGTGCGTGTCTGTACCTGTGTTGTGCATCTTGCTCCCAGCAGCCGCATGTGTGTGCTGACTCTGCTCTGATTGGCTGTTGCTGCTGTCTGGACTGAGGACAGCAGTGAACACCTCCTCCACGTCCTTTCCCTCCAGCTCTGCGCACACACACACACACCAGCATCGGTCAGCATGGATGACGTGACATGAGCTTTCAATGACAGCGTGATGGTGACGAGCACCGACTCATCAACGGGACTAACGAGGTCATGACAGCGTCACTTGTATCCATGTGATGCTGTCTGTGCAGAAGCAGCTGCTCAACATTTAATAACGAATACGTTTGAAGCCAAGTGCCAACTTCCCTTTTCAGTCGCTCTGCTGTCAGCTGACCTGTCCCTGTTTCTGATTGGTCAATCATCTTAGTTAGATTAATAAACCCTTGGCTGACGTATGGCGCTGACGCCCACACAGGTGCTCGGTCTTACCTGGGATCTTGTAGAGCTTGCTAAGGATGGCACCTGAAACAGAAGAACACTCGTCAATCAGCTGCTCTAGAATCTGTGAGCACTTCCTGTTTCCTGCTTCTCAGACCCTCTTCAACTCACCATCAGTGACCATCTTATCAAGCTCAGGACTCAAGATGGCGTCCAGAGGCTCTTCCTGCATTGCCCTCTGGACACGCCCACTGCTTCCCATTGGCTCAGAAGTCAAAGAGGCATCATGCGCCACAGAGCTGATGTCCAGACCTGCTGAGAGAGGGGAAGGGGGTTAAATAAGAGAGACAGATGCATGGACAGACTGGAGGTCAGCAGGAAGCAGCAGAAGAAGAATGAGTCTGATCTCTGCAGGAGAAGAAGATGATTCAGGCCGTTATATCACAGGACAGGAGGAGGAGAACAAACAGGAGCAGAAGAGGAAGAAAAGTTTCAGAAGGCTCCAGGCTGTTGCCTCTGCTGGACGTCAGAGGAACTGCAGCCGTTTCATTTTGTAGTTTATTAAATTTATTTTGGCCGTCCAGAAACACAAAACTGAACCAAAGTGAGACGGAGGAGGAGGAGGTCTTCCTGGGGAGTCTTACCAAATGGAGACGGGGAGCGCTCCACCTGGAACTGACCTGGAAACAAATACACACAGTTATGGTGTGAGCTCTTCTTCGTTGGTGTGGTCCCTGAGTGGGCAGAGGGTGAAGGGGCTGATGGGAGTACCTGTGTGTCCGGTGGCGAGGATGTGAGGGTCGGTGTTCAGGATGTCTGACAGATCCACGAGACCGCCATCCGACCCGGCTGGATGGTCACACACACACACACAAACACGATTCACTCACAATTCAGAAGCCCGAGTATATGGGCTCAAAATGTGGTCATAAATATTTTGTACTTGTAAATCAGTTTTGTATGTGTAAAAAAGATTTGTGTGTGGACTTAGCCCAAAAAACCCTGCAAGTTACAGCTACGAATTTTGACCCTATTTTTCTTCCTTTAAGCTGATTGGTCAATGTCATGTCAATCACAAATGAAACAATCCAATCAGAGGACAGATGGGTTTGGCTGTCGGAGGGGCGCTTTTTTGAACTGCAGGTCCTTGAAGGGTAATCTCTATATAAATATCCGATAGCAGCTAGGTCCCCTAACTTTCAGCAGCTGTTGAAAGGATAAAGTTGTGCTATATCAGTGGTTAGAAATACATTATTACTTTAGGATTAGTTTAACACAAAGTCAGGGCTGACCCGGGACCATGGCTGTGAGTCACAGGGCGCAGCATAAAAGTCCTTTCACATCAGACGCAGGATGTGCTGCTAATGCTAACTAAAAGCAAAGGATCCAGAATGTGTTGCTGGCTGCTGGGCTCTGTGGGTTTTTGCAGCAGCTCTACCTGTACTAGATGCACCTGCTCCTTGTCTTTTCTATCTCTGACTTTATGTGAACTACAAGAGTTTCTGGGGTTTTTTTGCTGGTTCTTCAAATGTTCAATAAAAACATGTATGCTAATTCATAACGAAGAAAGCTTTGTAATGAAGATTGTCATTTACAGACTCAGCAGTCCATCTGCATCTAAAGGTCAAAGGTCACTCTTTGAGGATGCCAATGTTCACATTTTGGACAGAGAGGACAGATGGTTTGAAAGAGGAGTGAAAGAAGCATCTATGTCCACTGTGAGCGACCATCTTTGAACAGAGGCGGGGTTTACGACACCAACTCTCTGCCATCTATAATCCAGTTTTGAGATCCCTTCCC